CAATAGGTAATGATATATGTGTTTACATACGTGGGATTGTTGAAGACAATGATCTGTCTGAGTGGTGGTTATGGTAGTGGATTCTCTGGCCTGAGAAAGGCATAAAAGGCAGTGTGCATGGCTGGTAATGGCCGACTTGGTAGTATAATTGAATGGTTGTAGCTCTAATAGGTCCGATAAGGATGGAAAAGTTGGATGGCTATTGGTAATCTGAGTGGAACGTGGGGGGATGGTATAGTATATTCTTGTCTGGTATGATAGCATGCAGTTATGGTAGTTTTGGCCATAGGTTATCCTCTGTTGTTGAATGTCTGTAAAATATATAATTAATGGTGTGTGAGATGGTTTTAGTTTAAGGTGGCAAAAAATGATGCAAAACCTAGGAGAAATATGACACAGGTTGAGCTATGTCGTGTTCCAATGTGATTCTTTAAAGCCAGGTGAATAGCTGTGTTATGCGTTCTACAAGTATGGGATGAAAGTGCTTGGTGGGATAGTGCATGCTATGCTGCATGAGTATGTCTAATCCATGATTTTGTCTCTGGAACGAAAGAGTGGCCGTGACTGTATGGGCGGCTGTAGGAAGCGTATGATGAACATGCCTGGAATATAAATGAGACAATTGTCGGCAGGGATGAAAGTAAAAGAAATGTGGTAAGTGGCCAACCAAGTGAGTTCCCCAGCAATACCATGATCGTATGGATGATGAGTGGCATTTGTTGATATGACATGTGCTTAGTTGTCTGAGTAACAACGGATTGATGACCCTGACCATGATTTACCCCATGCCACAGCAGCTGCTTTTAGCGGGGAAAGGATTGCCCATTTTATGCCATGTGCCAGTTTGTAGGGTAGGTGGTAGCCGTTTACTGTGTTGATGATATTGGTCTTACTTAACAAAGTTTCAACCCATGCTTGAGTGATAGCTGTAAAGGTAGATCAATGGTAGTGTATAGTAAGGAAACTCCTCGGAGGGTATGAGGGAGTTGAGACTTGGGGTAGCGAAGGTGTGTGGTGCCAATAAGTCTATGGTAAGTCTTTGTTTAAGGGAAGATTCCCTTATGACAATACCAATGTTTTTGTGTTTGGTGCCATGCTGTAAATGGTGGAGATTGGAAAACCCAAGTAAAAACCCCTCTGCAAATCTTGGCTATGTGTGTGTTTACAGCCAACGGTTCTGTTGTGCTGACTGTAAGTGAGGGCATGCTATATTCCTTGAGGGTTTATTTATGATACATGTATGGGAGCCCTTTGAAGCTCCAGAGCCTTAGTAAATCTACTACAAGTCTGGAAGGATGATGAGTCAGTAGTGTTGAAAATGCATTGGTGTGTACAGATGGGGAGTACATTATTTGTAAGTTGTATTGGGACACATGGTTTGTCATGTGCCCTGAATGATTTGAACATTTATGCAACAGTCTATATGCAATGCAACTACTAATACCAATTGTCTCTGGTAGTTCAGAGGTGCTGGTACCTGGAGCCTGAGAGTGCTCGTCCGTTTGTTTGGGAGAAAATCCCTTCTGTATGGGTACCTGCACAAATAAGCATCTCTACATATTCCAAATGCCAACACAACAAAGGGATGGTCAGTTCCCGATTTACCTAGAATGGGTCTGACCATCATAGGTACATCATCATACATATATATGCCTTGTTTCCCCAATGTGCCGGGAACATATGTGCAGGGTTAACGTCTTGTACCAAGAATTGATTGTACCAGGTAACCGAATTTCGGTTGGTGCTGGTTGTACAGTAGCGTGAGGCCCAGCCTTGTGAGGGCTGTGACCGACTCGAGATTGCCAGTCTGTCGTAAATTTTTTGGGCTCATGAGTTTATGAGTGAGGCTAGCATGGCCTGGGTGTCACCTGAGTTGGTGTTGCTGGGCCTTCCCCTGCCTCCGTGTTGTCAGTTGATGTATGGAGGAGTTTGAATAACTCTGCTTTCCTTGCTGTGGCAGGGTAGGGGATTTGTCGCCTCCTTAGGTCGGAGCCACATCTCCTCTGCTTGAAGTTGTATCACTTTTAGCCGGGGTGCCAGGAGGAGGTGATTCTTTGCCATCTTTTTGAGAAATACTTAAATAACAATAAAGATTGCAATTATTATTTGTACCCAGGGGTCTTGTACTGGCTTGCTATCTAAGCCGTAAGGCAAAACGATTAGGCTTGGTGTTTTTTGGTGACTGGTGAGGCCCTGCTAGTTGCCAAGTGGCTTGAGAGGCTCTATCTATGCTTGGCGCAAGGGGATTCTTTGTGGCCACCGAACGTTGTGGCAGGATGTTGGCCTCTCGGTGACAGTAACCAGAAAATAGGAAGGGGTGTGACAGGTGAGGCCCTATCTATGATACAATGCGAGGCAGCTAGCTCACGAGTGGCCCGAGGGGTGTATGCCTCGAGTGTGAGGCGGGGTGTTGGCCTCGTGGGACCACTAACCAAAGCGTAGAGCAGAGAAAAAAGGGGGTAATACCTATTGGGCCCTAGAACCCTAATTGCCAGTACACTATTACTATTCCAGGGAAGGTAAGAAATGGATAACTACATGAGCAGGTGTACGTACCTGGTAGTATGGTGTTGAACCTGACAATCCGTATAGGTTTTTTAGTAGTAACTGTAACCTGAATCGATAAAATCGTATGGCATAAGGAAATATGGCATAGACCAAGCTTATCTTAAAACATACAGTATATGTGAAAGTAAAGTGCCGCGATATGTAAATATTAAACAACATATCCATACTGGTTAAATATGTATCAATCTTAATCCATTAAGTGCCGTATGTATGTGAACCATATTACCAGTTACGTATATACAGATGCGCGTGCTACTGTGTAATAATATGTGTATTTATAACAGATGTTGATATACTGCTTGCTATGTGAATTGTTGTATGCCTTATTGAATGGTCAGTGAACATGGTGTTGCAAAATGCAAGTGCACTGGAGATCTGCCGAGTGCCCTATAGGTGGCAGTGTAGTTGATACTGATTGGTATGTGAAATGTTTGTCTGTTGACCTATAGGGGTCAGTGTTTTGGTGTTTGTAAAACCCCATGAAAATTGTCAATGTACTTGACAGACCTGTAGGTGGCAGTGTTGATAGAACCACTGTTAGTCTTGATGTGAAATGTAAATTATTGTGAAATAAACCTGAAGTTGAGCCTGTGCTGGAGTTTAATTTATGGTCTATAGTTATGTTTAAAACAATCTTATGTGTAATTTATATTGGCTGGTAATTGCATATGACATGTGAAGACAGTTTTGCTGTTGACCAGTAGGGGTCAGAAATGCTGATTGTATGGTAAAATACCCTTTAACCCCTGAAGGATACATGACATGTGTGACATATCATGATTCCCTTTTATTCCAGAGTTTGGTCCTTAAGGGGTTAATCCAAATGCAAGGTTAACGTGAGATTTTGAGAGTGACCTGTAGGAGTCAGTGTGGTTTATGTGAAACATTGTTCGTGAGCTATTCCCCAGCATTATAGTTGTGTGACAGGGAAACAAACAGTACCCGTTTGACAATATACAATATGTGAACATAATAGCTTAATAACAGTCATTGTAACAAACCAAAGTTCTGTTCGTGGGTTGTAAACGCACAAAACGTGTGTGTAGTACAATAGTAAATGCATGAACTAGTTCCCGTTTGGTAGAAAATTGCACGAACCGTGAGCCTGGTATGTCAGGGAAACAAAACGAAACGAGCAGTGAGATTCGAAATGCACGCACAGAATTGCCTAGTATGTTTAGGCAATTGAAACAGAATGTGTTCCCGTTTGGAAGTATGCTAATGCTCGAAATGAGCCAGTGACAGATATAAACAAGTGAGTTTAAACGAATGATATGCATGAACATGCAATGGTTTTAGGACAGATTTAGACAAAATGCAGCCGTAAAGTGAGGACCTGACCCGTGCATGGTGCTGTGGGACTGATGCCTGGCGTAACGGGTAGGTCGACTTACGGTTTGTGAGTCACTTGGACACCATCCACAGTGATAGATTTAAGAAAGAATGCGGAAGGCCTGAAAAGCCTGTGGCTGAATTCCTGACACAGCTCAGCTTAGAAAACCTCATGGAGTAATCAGGTAAAATGGCGTCTGGATGACCCGGAAGTGGAAATCATTCTGATGCTGACCTCAAGCGATATGAGTCAGGTAAGGGGTGTCCCTTATATAGGGGAGTGAATTAATTTAAGCCCCTCCCACTTACAGGCCAAACGGCCTTAAAACATATGACAAAAATAGAAAAGTTAAAAATAGTCAAAATACCTTCATTTAATATTTTAAGCAATTGTGATGGACTTTATTTTTGTCATGGAAATGCAGCTACGACTTAAAAAGACCATAGGAATACAAAAATATTATACTATATGTAACCATCATTAGTTTAAAAATAAAAAATAATCAGTGCTTATATAGAAAATTGCAGGCTACTTGTCCATCAAATTTGAGTGGATTTAGGAAAATTATTAAAATATCACTTTTAAGACATTCATGAATAGATTGCAGTCCCAACCATAGCTGTAATAATTCTAAGCAATCTAAACGCAATGGTACTATCCACAATTTGAAAAAAAATGTGGCTAATTTTAAATGGCAACTCAATTCTTTTAAACAAATCATTTTCCATTCAGTGATTCACCATTTGAAGTGCTAATCCCTCACCTCTGTAAGAAACATATAGCTTTTATTAAATATTAAATACACACGTTTCCCTATTTACATGTGTATATCATGTTACAGCTAGAAGAGAGGAAATATTGATGACTTTGCCGCAACATTGTTGATAATTTTCTGTGTGTAATATGTACCTTTTTCAAAAAAATATGATATTCATAAAGCTAGAAAGACTGGGGAGAAAAAAAACATACAAAGAATCAAATTCATACACCGGAAACATAAATCAATAATCTAGTACAAAATTATAGCTTTTTTTCCCCTTCTCTCTTTAAAACAATAATAATTTTAAAAAAACTGTTGTAGTGAAATGAAAACCAAACTGCACAATTAAGGCTAAAATATCCACTTTTGACTACAGCCGAGTTGAATAATATTTCCAGATGGCCGCTTTTTGCATAAATTCTGCAAAATGTTTCTGTCTTACTTGCTAAATGACTTTGTATAAACACATACTAGCAGTAGATCAAATGTTCTAAGGCTAAAATGGGCAGTAATGACCATGTGCCTGCTGTTATAAAAACAAAGTTTCTGTTTATAGATCGGCAGGAGGTTCGACAATGTCCACATAATTCTAATCATCATCATCATCTTGGACATCTTGGTCTAACTGGAACAGAAATTTAGAAATGTATCCAATCGGTAAACTCCCCATAAAAGTGCAATGCAAAAATAAGGGAAAAAATGGATGAAACCGTATTTACCCCTTTCACAATAAACTAAATAGATACAACAAGGATTACTCAAAAATTATAACAAACTCAAAGTAAATCTATAAAAAAAATTTTTTTAAAAGGGCAGTACAGTAAGTGCAACAAATACATGTAATATAAGGATAAACCCACAAGTAATGGTGAGGTTATAAGGTGATCTCATATTGCATAAACCTCTGATATAAAAACCTATCCTGAATGCTCAAAGGTGCATGTAAGGAGAATTCTAGAGATTTTAACTGTCCTGCATTTGCACTTTACCATCTGGACCAAATCAATCAGGCTTATGTTGATGGGCATTATCACCTTTTGTCCTGTGTGTTACAATAAAGCAGTTATATGATTGTTTAATAGTGTTGCACTATGGATCTCTACTATTTTCCTTAGTTTTTTCCTTTTTTTTTTAGTTTATTCTTTGTAGATATACTTTGGTTAGATTTAGAAATGTGTTGCTAGTAATTGGTGCATATGAGTGGAGAGAGCACAAACACTTATCAGGTTTTTATGTGGATTGCTCCATATTTCTCCTAGCAAGAACTTTTGTGTGATGTGCTGATAACAATATAGAACATTGTATCCATGAGATATGTAGGACAATTGTGATAAAATGATGCCTGTCCAAATACTATTTATAAGTTATCATATTTAATGCTGCATTTACATCCAACATATCCGAATTATTGACTCAACTGATTTCACATGGGGATAAGTTTAGGCCAAAGTGGACAAAATTATTTTTAAATCTAGCTAATTTTTCAGTTTAGGCATTTTGACCCAACGTGCCAATTCCTTATCTGGTCCTGACAATTCCAGATTTGATGAGTAATGCTCACATTTGTTTTTACATATTAATTTGTAATATTTATATTCATATTTATACCAGTTAGCCTCTAAATTCTTGGCCTTAAATGCTCCTTTTGTTCTCATAGTTGGACAATAAAACTATCAAACTACCTTGAAACTATGTAGTGTTCAGCAGCTTTTATCGTAAACTGAAAGAAGCACTTCTTGAAAATTATTATTATTATTAAAATGATTTATTTAGAAAAATATTTCACCAGGAAGAATGAAGTAATATTTCTCAGGTTTTCAGATATGTTCTGGAAAGCCCATACAAATGTATTGTTATATATAATAGGAAACATATGCAGTACAATCATATTATTATTATTACTGGCATTTATAAAGCGCCAACAAATTCCGCAGCGTTGTACAATTGGGAAAAAGACAAACACAATAAGAACAGACTGATACAACTGGTAGAGGACCCTGATCGTAGATATATTATTACACTTGTAATATGCATATGCAATACAACTATTAAATTAGCAACAGGTGCAGTTACGTTTTAATTTAAGTTAGGTGGATGTCATTTTTAGGGTCTTCAGACTGGTGGCAAATGTGTTATTCTGGGACAGGTTATTCCATGTATATAGAAATATATAGGAGAAAACGTTGGTCACCCACCCATTGTAGATGGTGGATGCAAAGTATGGAACCAGAAGTAAAATGAAGGTCAGAAGGTGGACAGGCAGCATGGGAGACTTCTCAGAGAAGTGGCTATGACCCAGACAAAAAAAAAGGTGAAGTTAGCAAATTTAGTTGTTTAACAAATTACAACGATGGATACTGTAGTTATGTGAAAGAAAATAAAATATTACCCGTAACATTGTCTAAGTAACTATTTTTAATGGATATGTATAAGTTAACTCTCAAGTGTATCTTGTGGCTTACTGTTGCTTGCTGACTGAGTGGTGCTATCAGAAGACCATGCAAAGTTAGAATATATGAATCTGTAAAATAGTCCATTTGTTTTAAATAGCCTATGATTGTGCATGATGTCAAGGTTTGTTACTAGCTCTTGATAACCAGGCTAGTTTTTGGTCGATTACATGGGTTTTATGACCCAAAAAGGACTTAGAGATTGCTATCTGCCAACGGTAAGGGTACAGCAAGAAATGTAGTGAAAAGTAAGTACCCTATATACTCGAGTATAAGTCGAGCCGAATATAAGTCCAGACCCCTACTTTTACCCCAAAAAACTGGGAAAACGTATTGACTCAAGTATAAGACTAGGGTGGGAAATGCAGCAGCTACTGGTAAATTTCTAAATAAAGTTATATCAATTAAATATTTATTTACAGTGTATGTATATAATGAATGCAGTGTGTGTGTGTGTGTGTGTGATGCAGAGCCTTGGTGGGGGGTGGGCATTTTTATTATTTTTTTAAAATTATTATTTTAATATTTTATTTTTTTGTTATATTATTAATATTTTATTTTTATTTTATTATTATTTTAATATTATTTAATTTTTTATTTATTTATTTTTGTCCCCCCCCTCCCTGCTTGTTAGCTGGCCAGGGAGGGGGGCTCTCATTCCCTGGTGGTCCTGTGGATGGGCTGTGTAGGAGGGGGGCTGGCAGCGAGCTGTAACTTACCTTTCCTGCAGCTCCTGTCAGCTCCCTTCTCTCTCCTCCGGTCCGGTCAGCTCCCCTGCATGTCTTGCGGTCTAAGTGCCGCACGGAGCGTTGCCACGGGCTCTGACCCCGCGGCCTTCACAAGATTTACAGTGGAGCTGACGGACCGGAGGAGAGAGAAGGGAGCTGACAGGAGCTGCAGGAAAGGTAAGTTACAGCTCACTGCCAGCCCCCTCATTACAAGCACGGCGGTCCTGGTCTGTATTATGGCAATTTAAGTTGCCATAATACAGACAGTGACTCGAGTGGGGGTTTTTCAGCACAAAAAATGTGCTGAAAAATCCGACTTATACTCTAGTATATATGGTATTTACCTTTTGTGTAAGCATTATAAATTACACACCGTGGCTATAATAAAAATATATGACAGTTTTCCTCTACAGATGGGTCTACAATCATGTCACTTTGACTTAGTGCTTACGTAAATGGAAACAGTAATCCTAGCTTGTTAGTACTGATTAATGATCATATTGTAATTATCTTTTGTTTATATAACTACAATAGATTGTATAATGTTTGCATCAGAATTAATTTTATCTTGCACTGAAGTATGTGGGAGGTAATTCTGCAAATCTCACAGGAAGCTCTAGAATATTTTTTTTGACAGATAAGCAAAGACTCTTCTTAATAATATAGCTAAAGAAGATGGTAAAAGTATCACTCCTTCACTCAGTGTACCATAACTACTGTCATTATGGTTATTACTTTTGGCGGAGCTCAATTAACACTAACTGGGTCATTTTCTATAGTGAGAATGTTTCGGTTTTCCAATTGAATTTCAAATTGAAAGGCAAATTGCTGAATAGGAAAGATTCTCCAAGTTTGCTAAACTTTCAGTTCAAGTGGTCTACATTTTTAAATTTACTTTGGATCCCTACAAATCTCGCTTTTGTGTAAATATTTACTGAATGTATTTTGTAAGGAGCAGGAGGGTGACCAACTTTACCTGCAAGTGGGTGGATTTAGCACCACGACAGTTACAATATACTGTATTAGTTATGTAGCTTGGAGTATCCCTTTATCTATAGGTATCAAATGTTAGAGATTTCTGGTACTACATAAACCGTAACAACAAAATAGAACAATGGTGAAAAGGATCAGAAGATAATGTCAGACGGAAGCAGGAGCAGGTTGTATATCTGTATTTTTATAAAAATACATTCATCAAATTTTTGTTCTGTGGATTCCAGACAGAGCTTCGATATTTGTTGGACTATTAAATCACAAATAAATATGAGGTTTCCATGTAAAACAAAAATTACATTATGCGCTAACTTATTTTACAAGGTGGTAAAATAGTAGAATAAAAGGACTGTATAGCTGTGAATAAATCACAAGAAATACCAGGGGAGTGCAGTATAAAAGTGACCATAAATAATTCTTATAGCGTAGATTCAATAATTCTGTGTATATCTGTATATAAAATACAATAAAAATACATACATAGGGCAATATTGTAAGAAATATGTATCAATATGTATATGTGTAATCTGCAATGGAACCACTCGCATGAAGCTGAGCCTCATATAGCAGGCTCTGGCTTTAGCAGCATGGAGATACAATAGCTTGTGTCCTCTCAGGTAGTCTGGTCATCAATCCCAGGAAACAGGCAGGAGATGGCTTTTTGTAAGCAGAAAAAAACATTTTATTGGATCACACAGTCATATTGTATTTTATACACAGAATCCTTGAATGAACGCTATTAGTATTATTTATTGTTACTATTTATATTGCACTCCCCTGGCATTTCTTGTTCACAGCTATACAGTCCTTTTATTCTATACATTTCTTTTGTGCTCCAGTGGGTGATCGGTGGCACTGGGGATTGTTGCATATATTTTGAAGCGCCAAGTTAAACCTCATTGTTACGTGTATTTGGTAAATTAGTAGAATTGACATTGGCAATACTCATCTAAGTATAAGAATATCGAACAGTTTTGTTCCTGAATTAAAATGATCAAAACATGAGAGGCAATTAGCTTATACATAAGGAAGAACTCTATACCTTTTTGTAGCAATTGCACAGAACAAAATATGTTTTTGTTGATATCTTTTTTTTGGTGTGCAAAGTGCTGCATGCAATATACTGTAGGAGGCAGTTTGTATCTAATATCAAATTAAAAAAACACTGTACTGTCTTAAAGTGTCACTATAAGCTTCATATCCACTACAACTCATTAGGTTTATGGTGCTCAGACTCATGTGCCTCTCCAAAGTTCTTATCAACTGGTTTTCGTGTGGCCCCTTATCTGGGCACAGTTAATGCATAAAAGAACTTTCACATAAGCCCATCCATATTTGGATAGCAGTAATGGGCTACAAGAGCAGATGGCGGTTAGCCCAGTACTCTCCCCGCTTATCGTTGTCAGCCAAATTTACTGAAAGAAGGACTGGGCTTTATTCTCCTAAATACTGAATTAACGTTAATCAAAGGGGAAGGTCCTGTGGACATTTTGTACCATGAGCTGTAGTGGTTTTGGTACTGAGAGTGTCCTTTTAATTTCCGGGAAAGGTATACACAGATAGATGCATCTTTTACGCAGACCACATAACGCAAAACTTAAAACAATGTAGGGAATTTGTCAAAGTGTTGTCAACACTTTTACCTCTTTATAATCAGCAAATTATTGGTGCAATTTATTAAAGGAATACTTTAAGCACCATAACCACTCCACATAACACTGTAGTGGTTATGGGGCCAAGAATGTCACTGCAAACAGTTTAACAAGTTACCTGGAGTCTAGGTGCCAGTCACCTCTACTGGTGAAGCCAGAAGCTCCTGCAAGAAGCTTCTGTTAGCTTAACTGAGTTAATCCCTGCTGTGCATGGTTGGCTCAGAGGTGAACAGCACCGATCCTATCCTAATCCTAGCTCAGTGCTGTAGCCTCTGAAGGAGGAGGCAAACAGTGCATTCAGGTCAGTTGTCAAAATGATTAAAATGGTTTGACTACTACACCTGAGAGGGTGCCAGGGCACTCAGGAGACTCTAGTGGTTATGAGGCCTGGAATATTCCTTTAAATATGCTGGATTTTTTTTTTGCATTTGCATGCGTTGTCTTTTTTTATACCAAGGCCATTTTTTAATGTAAATTTAGTTTTTTTTACATTTGGCATTTTTTTTCGGTAATGCATTAGATTTATCAGATTTTCGGCGGACTGACTTTCTTTTTTTAGTTTTAAAACACTTTAATAAATACAAATCAAAATAATAATAACATTTAGCCATCACTTTCAGAACCCTCTGATAAATATTCCCCCAAGTTTTGCGACCTGTACAAATGATCTTGAGTCGAAAGTAAACAGATTTAAACAGATCTCTCAATCATATATAGAGGTGCAGTCAGAGGCCATATTTCAGAAGCATTATCTTAATGCAAAGCAAATTGTAGCAAATGTACAACTATGTACCGTTTAATAAATCAACCTCTGGGTAATCAAATTTGCATAGGAGATATGCGTTTTATAGAGTAAAACATTGTGGGTATATAAACCATACTTCTCATGACTAGTAATTTTTGTTACCAGAGTGATGACCCTCAGTGATAACTAGGGGCAGGAGTGCAGAACTAAAATTGGAAAAATAACTTTATGATAATGCACAGCAACATTCCACCCTTGCTGACTGAACTGCTATTTTACAGCTGAATCATAATCAGTGCAGCAATGACTGGAAATTTAATGCAACATTATAATACTTTTCAGGAAAATATTTCTCCACATTAAGTACATTTATAGATATTATTAAATGATACAAACTAAATATTAAAGTGGCACAGTGATATGAAAAGGCCTTTCCATTATAAAAAATAAAATAAAAAAATAAAATTATAAAATTAAACATTATAGCTTTAGGAATACAAATGCTTATTCCCAATGGTATAGTGCCATTTTAGCCATTCAAATCATTGGACTCCATCAGTAGGGTTATAAAAAAAATAAATAGATAAAAAAATAGTTTGCTTATCTTTTCTTCTTCACAGCACTGGTCTCCGCATTGCCATCCCGCCTCCTTGACTGAGATCAAAATCGATGATTTCAGCCAATCCATAAGAAAGCATTGGGAGGCTATGGCGTGTGTGGCACAATGCTGCACCAATCAGATGTTCACTCTGAGATCATAGAATTGAAATAGAGTTGTAGTCTATATCTGAGGAAGCGTCTCTAGTGACTGTCTGAGTGGCAGCCACTAGAGGTATTCAGACCCTGCAATGAAAATATTGCCGTACTGCAGAACGGCAATGTTTTCATTGCAGGGATTAAACTTGGAGTGGACATGGCACCCAGACCACTTAATTGAGATTAAGTGGTCTGGTTACATATTGTGACCCTTTAAGGCACAGATTAACAGGGTTTTAATCTACTAACGCTAAAGCAGGTTTAGCTAAAATAAATATCTTCAAGATCAATCAGTGTTTCAGTATAGTGAGGCTATTTTCAATTACTGAGTAAAAGTTACTGACATAAGGGGCTATAGAAAACATGTGATGCCAGCAGCCAATTAAATTCCTTAATTTGCTAAACACATCCCAGCTTTTCTAAAGAGACTTATCTAAACGCTCAGATGTACACACACACAAAAAAAACAACAACCACCCACGAAAGAAATACGGAATTCATTTAAAAATGATATATGCTAGTGCATATAATTTGTGATGACAAGGTTACTTTAAATTTATATTTTAAAACTGAAAAACTGTGGAAATAAAATTCCTTCGCAATGCACACAATAAGAAGATTTAAATAAGGCTGGTACAAGGGCTTTTGTTAGTGCATAAGACCTTAGCAGAGTTATTCAACTCTGTCCTTGAGTTCCTCAAACAAGCATGGAGCCAACACACACGCTGGTCTATCCAAGGTACCTGGTAAACATTTTCTTATAAGAAGTGTACTACTGAGCATATATTTTGTTCAGAACAAAAAAAAAAAAATGCCAGTTATACTTTTACTGATGCACAAACATTATATAGAATTACTATATTATATTAACCATTAGTGTAAAGGCATTGGGAAGACTGGAAAAAAGGATCTGGTGAGGCCAATTTAAACACATGACAAAGAAGTATGTCATCCCTGTTAAATATAGCCTTTTGTATTTCATTTACTATTTTATATTGCTGCAACTCAAGAGATTTAATCACATGATGTACATAGCAGGCCATGAACAATGTGAGTCTCCCAGGTGCCACACAGCAGATGAATCAATGGTAGTTTCATTACAACTTTAAAAATGCAGTCTATCCCATTCGCTCACTTGTTCCTTTGCACAGCAATTGTAATACTAAAGAGGTCTGGTGCATAATCATGTATCAGTGCAGCAGGTCATCAAAGATTACCCTCCATTAGGAGAATAACAAAAATAAAATCAGTTACATTTATCTTACAGCAAAATATCAAAATAAAACCGCTCGTCTGTTTTAAAAAAAAAAAAAAAAGGAAATAGTACTTCAATGAAAATCTGCAATCCAAATTTCATCTTTGTCCGGAGCGTTTTTCATCCCGAGCACGTTCTTGTTTGGTTCCAACCAAATATGAAACTTTGATTTGGAATGCAGGGAGACTGCTTTATTGATGGTTTGGTGTGGTTTACCGATTGCACCCGTCACTGTAGCACCCTGAACGATTCTAATTCTCTTTGACACTGGTAGAGTAAACATTCTGGTAGATTAATACTTTGAGACCTGGACCACAAGGTCAACACTCCTTCCTGGAGATGGCAGTGCAAAAGAGCAGGTAACGAGGGGAGCAGCTGGCAAGCAGCAAGTCCTTCATCACCTGCACACAAGGTTTAAATAAAAAAAGAAGAAAAAAAAAAAGAATTATAGTAAACCTACAAGAAGTTATAAAATTCAACATAACAGCCAATATGCAGTGTAATGCCTGGTTTTATTACAGGTAGATTTTTTTTTTTTTACTCGGAAAGGTCTAAACAGCATCTCTCACAGTTCTACTTTTAGTATTTTATTTTATTTTATTGAGGGTAAATAAATTCCTGTTTTTGTCACATCAGAAACAAAAGTTCTTTGATCTTAAGAAATATGATGCAATTTTTTTTTTTTTCTGGCTATTTCTACACCGTATAGCTGTTTACAGTTTATCTGAAACTCATAAAATAACATTTGCAATTGACAAAGCAGGAAATCTACCTGCAAAATCTACAAACATGGTATTTCTTTTAAACTACGTCAAATGTACATATTTGAGTGCTATGTAGGTGTATTTAGCAACGCAACCTAGAGCTTTTGAGATTTTTAATTTAACGTAATTCTTATTTTTTTCTTAATTTAGTGTATTTGTTTAATGGAAGGGAGTGCATGGAGTAGAGGTTTCTTTATGTGACTACATTCCCACCATGCCCCCTTTTAAAGTCATCACAATCCAATCAGATGCCTCAAAAAAATAGCCAAATCTCATATAGGAAGAGAAGCTTACGACAGGATACATATATTCACCGAATTGAGGTTTTCATTATATTTATGCAATCCAATGCAAAACACGGTATAATTGGATTGCAGTCAATTGCTGTATATGTTTTATTGACACTGCAAGATCTATGCTACATTTCTTTACATGCAGCTATATATTTCAAAAGGAATTAGAGCAGCAGTTGTGCCCGTTTCGGAGTACAGACAGATTAAAACACAAGTTTCTGCTATCGAGTAAACTTAACAGGGCTTAGTACAAACAGTGTCTTGTTACTCCGGCAGCACATTTGCAGAGGAATTATGTAAGCAGGCAAAGCTGTATGTGTGCATGCATAGTAATTAGCTGACTGGCTACGTTGCATCGGCTTGTATGAGACTAAACACAAGGATAGTCATAAGTAATACACAGGGTAATCTTAATTATCTGCTTCCTGAATCACATCAAAAGTAGATGGAAAGGCATCAGTTGGAAAAGGATTTCAATAAAATGCAATCTGACCAAACACGAATAGTGGTTTCATGCAGTATCTTTATAACATTCTACATGAGTTTCCTCTAACCTAGGTTTAAAGAGTTAAATAGAAGTTCACTAAATTTGAGTTCGTTTGTGTCTAGGCTCAATTCACTAAACATTTTATGGAGAAAATCCAGGGGAGTAATCAGCAGGAAAAAAATTAACCCCACAGAAAATGGTGCAAAGTACCCAACGTTTCAGAATCAGTGGTTAAGATTCTTATAATTCTCCTTGAAAAAGCAAAAACTCAATAGAAATCCAAAACGTTGTCATTTATCCAAATCTGAATGGTCAGAAATTCAAATTTCAAAAACACTTACTAGAATTTTTTTACCCCATTTCCTGAAAATGCACACTAATTAAAAATTTCAGACAAAGGTGCGACTGTAGTGAGTTACCAAAGCGTTTTGGTACGGCCCAAGTCCAATTCCCAACCCAAATCCTTCTTTTAAAACATTGTAGCTGCAACAAATTCCTAAATCCAAGCCACTAGAGTTTACATTTTTTTTTCAGTTTGATTTTTATTTGAGGTTGTACACATAAGCATGTACATCCTTGTCAAAGTATGAAATATCAATTACATAAACATAAGGGCAAAGCACTACACGTGTTTGGAATTTTATAACATAGGTGTTACTCAAATCATATTTATCACAAACCAAGATCCTCAAGCTCATAGGTTCAGCATGTTATAGTGATCCTCAGTTAACACATGGAAACTGCATCAACAGCAGTTGGAAGGGAGGGCAATACATTGGCCTGATACCCAAGTGGAGGGTCAGCTGCAAAAGGCAGTAGGCTTGGGTAGCTTAGTGGAGGTCAGAGATGTGCCTTCCCTCGGATTTCTTTGTGGCGTTTTTCTCCCCCTTTCAGTTTCGAGTTTCCTGAAGATCTGCCTTCCACACTATCCAGAGGTCGAGTATAGCTTTTTTTATATCTCCCTTGGTAGAGGGAGAAGAGTCTTCCTCCGGTTCAGAATCCGGAGATCTCTCACTCTGTTGAGGAGAGGCAAGTGACTCCACATCTTCCTGTGACTCCTCTGAGGCCTTTTCTTCAATCAGTGCCAGAGGCGCCATCTTAGGAGGCCTAATTACAGAATTTATCGACCAAAAACACTATAACAGTCATACCTCTCAAGCGTCATGTATGTGATGGAGTTGGTGTTGGAGGGAAACTCAAAGGATGCAGCTATAAGAAAACACATACTCTATGCTAATCTCTCTCTAATTTATGCTTTCATCTTTCAGGTAAATCCAAACCCCCTAACAGCAGTGTCCAATGAAGCAGGAAGTCAATGGGCGGGGTAAAAAGGTGGGCCACTGACACGAATCACGTGACCAGAACTGCCAAAAGGGACAAACATGCCCAAAAGGGGGGGCATGTCTGTCCAAAGAATTGGAAGGCCAGCCTGGCATCAGTATCCCTATGTATCACAGTGTCAGTGTCCCCATGTCGCCCAGTCCCCTAGTCTCCCAGTGTCTGTGTCCCTATGTCTCAGTGTGTCAGACACTGGAAGACTAGGGGACACTGGGAGACATGGGGACACAGAAACTAGGGACACAGAAACTAGGGACACAGAAACTAGGGACACTGGCTGGGAGGCATGGGGACACAAACACTTGGAGACACTGGGAGACATGGGGCACTTGTGGACACTGGGAGACATTGGGACACAGAGACATGGGAACACCGAGACACTAGGGACACTGGCTGGGAGACATAGGGACACTGGGAGAAATGGGCACACTGGGTGGGACACATGTGGACACTGGGAGACATGGGGACACAGACATTTGGGGACACTGGGAGACATGGGGACACTGAGAAAACATGGGGACACAGACACTGGGAGCCACGGGGACACTGGCTGAGAGACATGGGGGCACTGGAAGACATGGAGATACTGTCTCGGTGTCCCAATGTGTCTCCCTATGTCTCACAGCATCCCCATGTGTCTCAGTGTCCCCTAGTGTCTCAGTGTCCTCATGTTTCCCAGTGTCTCACTGTCCCCATGTGTCCCCTAGTGTCTCAGTGTCCCCCATGTCTCCCTGCTGCCTTTCCCCCCCATCCTTCACTTACCTGAGCTGTAGTCGGTCTCTGCAGGCTGGAAGCTGCTGTATGGATCAGTGAGTAGAGAAAGGCAGGGAGATGCTGTAATGTCCTATCCCTGCCTCTCTCCATACTGGCCGGTGCTGGTATTGCAGAGTAATCCTCCGTTTATACTGAGAAATATATTTGCATTTGTATTGCGGTATTACTGCAATACCGTCACGGCCAGGCAGCCTCAAATATCAGCTGTGCCTTAAAATACCAGTCAGGTGGCAAACCTAAGAGTAGTGTAAAAAAGTAATTTTTTTTTTTTTTTTTTAAATGGGCCTTTTCCTGGAGCTGCAGCTCCATCAGCCCCTATGTTAATCCGGCCCTGTGCCTAGGCCTCATGAAGGAAAGCAGAATCTCTGTCATTTTAGGGCTCTCTGGTGGGCAAAACTTTTTGGTGGGCAAAACCCGCCCCATAATGTCATCTGGGGTGGGTTAGTTGATAAGAGTCTCCACGAAGCCTGCAGGTCGGGCAAAGTCATCTTTTTTGTAAGTCAGGTGCAAAGCTCCACAGAAATGCATCTAAGCTGTAGCTTAGTTAGCCACGCCCCCGAGTTTACATTTAAAGTGCAAAAGCAAATTTCCTTAATTAACAAGTACCTCATTTAATACTTTATGTGAATAGGCATATTGATCCCAGATAAAGTGTATAGCACAGAATACAACTTACCTATAACTTCAACAATATAAAGGTTCAGTGTCTTCTGCAAACATTGAAGAATTCCCAGCAAGGCCTCGTCGGCACTACGAAGTTTTACTTTTTGTTTTGCATCATTAGAAAAAGACAGCCACATTTTGCCAAACTCATCTGTTGACATCCTCAATGGTCTGTGGCAAAGAAAGCAAAATGTTCCATTTCGATTACCAAATATAGCTTGCAAAATCTTCAATTAACAATACCACACAATTAAAATCTGCATCATTTTTTAGTCTTAAATTAACACAATACAATGAAGGGTAGAACACTGATGCTGCAGTAGTGGTTTTTAATGTTTGCCAAAATTAAACCACTTAGTCTAGCTTTCTAGCAAACTTTTATGTGGTCACTGCCATCTTTACTGAAGTTCCAATCTCCAGCCGCGTCATTCCCGACACAGAGGTCTATGGAAGAGACATGGGATTTTCCACGGAACTACTCATGCAATGCATGAGAAGAAGCATTTCCCACAGACATCAATAGTGATGACTACAGGAAAAAGCCCCAACTAGGCAAAACGCGTTATGTTTTAGATATTCGTTTTTAGCATTAAAAGCATTTTTGGCATTTACCTAATTTGTTTGTCTGACCATTTATTACACCTTGTATGCTTTTAACGCCCTTTTAACTTTTTATTGTTCCAGGCAGATCAATATCTTTGAATAAATTTTTTTACACCAACACCCTGACAAGGGACATTCCCTGGAGAACCTACTATACATTACATCCCTGGTCGGGTTCATACCACCCATATATTTGAGCAGTGCTACTGGTCTATTAAATGTGAGTAGACTGTCATTTTTAATCTACTACTGTATTTATCACAGTGAGCACTATTGTCTGCTTTTATTTTTTTCTTACATATACATCTGTATGCTGAGAAACTGACTCAGAGCTACATATCCATCACTGGGGATTGTACTGCTGTATACCATTTTACTCAGAGCTGGTTTACAGCTCTATGAAATGTGAGTGCTAAATCCTATTTTTGTTGAGTGTCCCGCACCATATCTGATTATTATCTGTTTTTTTGCACATATCATTAATTATCCAAAGTCTGGACTATTATCAGCAAGGAAATTCTCAAGTATTTTATGATATATTGGACTTCATATCTGGCGGAACCCGTATTTGTGTTTTGTACAGTAAATATGTATATTTTGTAAAGATGCTATCTTTACAAAATACTCAAAAGTGACAAAGCAGCTTTAATAAATACTTGACAGTATAAACCCTATATTTAGCAAATAAATCCCTAAGTGCTTTTTGTAATTCCTTCACAGTGACAGAAGGCCATAAGCATAGTACAACCCCATGCATGCAAGAGACTAGAACATACAGTTTCCGAGGTATCCTTCAATCAAACAGACATGTCATGGCACTTCTCTACTGCACCCCACTTAATTAATATGACTAAGTTGTAAACGTAAGATCTTTTCCCCAAGAGTATAGTTTAATTAACTAGAACAAATTGGATATGTACTAGAACTGATTGTCTGTGGAAATATTTAAGATAAAGCAATTGTGAAACATCATAAAACCTTCAAAGCATTAAGCAGCAGGGGTAAAATTTGTGATGTACTAATTTGCAGTGACATTTGAATGATTACAGATACACATTTTTAAATAGACAGGCTTAAGGTTACATTTGTTTAAATAAAAGTTGCACAAATTGTTGACAAGGTTTATATTATCCTAACAAATAAAAATAGGGCACTTTTTTCATGGGGGAGGCAAATGTAAGATAGATACATATACAGCAGGAATGAACGGACTTTCATCAGGATTTAATGTAAAGAGGTCTCTGTAGATCTCAGTCATGTCATGTCATCATGGAAGATTTCCATCTGATCATAACCTGTGGCCACAAAGCTGTATTGAGTTTATCTGTAAATTGTACTTAAAGATCTGTAGCTCTTCGGTACAGAGATAGACATCTATGAGACATCTATGATGTGAACCATAATGGTCTACTTTCAAGTTATAAATCACATGAACATGTGATCATAGCAGCCATTAAAAACAGTTTAGCAGACTAACTCATAAGAAAGAAGTACTGTGTTTTAACGGTCTGATGATGCACAATGGCAAGTGCACACAAATTCATTTAAGTAATTTTAAGCAGGACCAAATTAGGGAATTTAAGTCCCAAGTGAAAAGGAGTGACGCAACCTATTATGACCGGTGTTATATTTTAATGTGAAAACTTAAATGAATAATTGTGTTAATTGTAAAAGCCACTTATGACTTATACAGTAATTTTTAGACACACTTAAAATAAATTTATGTGAGAGTGTGTCTTGAGCATATGGATTAATAGTAGTTTATGAATTAATAAAAAATATTTGGAAATTCTTACAAAGATACACACACACTCTTACAGACAGTTTCATAGTTGTACACACACTGCAATGTGTTTGCTCCCCTTGCAGTGCTATTTAAGTGGAAGAAATTGGGCTCAGATATCAGCTTATTCTCCAAACACCATCAGCAAAGTAAAAAATGTACAATACCTGATACAATCCATTAGCACAAAATCTACAGAAAAGCCAAGTTGAAGAGACCTCTCTGGCTCAACGTCATAGGTGATGCAGCCAGTAAGTGCCCCTTTAGTGCATGGTTGGATCATCTGTATACTACCATTGCACTGATGCACACCATGTGCATCAAGATGTGAGATGTGACAAAGAAGATTCTGGGAAACCTAAAAGATACAGCAAATTAATACGTGACCACAAGAGTAAAAGAACACTCTTGTACAGAAAAAAATAATAATCTTTACACAATGACTTACTGTAAAGTTTTCACTGTCTTCCATTTTCAAGTTAATGTTTTTAATTCCACAAGATTTCTTATTCACAAATGACAAGGAAAGTGTCAGGCTGTTGTCTTCCCATATTTTACATGAACACAGTCTTACAAAGTCACTGCCGGCAAGCTCTACGATTGTCGAGTGAGGGTACAGAGAAGTTATTGCAGGCATGGTTTCAAAAACAGGAGTAGTGATTTCTAATGGCAGAAAGACATCAAGGCTACTGTTTGCAAACATGGACTGAAGTTTACCATCATCTGTAACAGCCCCTGATGCGTCATGTTTTTGGGGAGAGTCTTTGGGGTCTAATACTAGTTTAGAACTTGCTGGGTGCATGCTATTCACAAGCATTTCTGACATGTTTTTCTCCCCAGCAGAGGAAGAATTAAAGGCGGCATACATAGATTCTTCTTTGTCTGGGAATTTTTTCCCACTAATTTTTGATTTTCTCTTAAACTTTTGTGTGGTTTGTTCACCTTTATCCATCTGTGTGAAACATACAAAAATATGAGAATAAATAAATTTAAAAAAACAAAACATGTTGTGTATACACATGAAATGAAAAAGTGGATTAATAAATAAATGGAATGTCTACTTTTACAAATGGTAGGACTTTGTGGAGTCACTTGAACAATAAACTGCTATAATGCCCCAAAATGAGCAACAGCTCATCAAATTGATCTCTCAAATAAAAAAACAAACCGTCAGGTCTCTTCTATGATACTGTAGCTTCAAAGGATAGCAGTAAAGACATTAATTGGTGGTATCGTACACAGAAGATGTAGCTGAACACATTATGTGGTTTTGCACAGTAGTAGCATACATCAGGTTTATGAAATACACATTAAAAAGAAAAAACTTGTTATATGTGTGTATGTTAAAAATCAGAAAAAATAAAGTTTACTTTAATATTTAGCAGAGATTGGCAGTTAAATGACTACGTAGTAAGTGTTAAATTACTCTTTGGTAAATAGCCTGTGATATTTACTTTATATAAACATATACTTTTGTGTGGCAATTGTGTGTTATGTGATGGCTATTAAGCTTACAAGACAAACCTATCAAATTCTAAAATATGTCCACATTGAAATTAGATTATACTCCTTTTATTTTGTGACCTGAAACTATCAAAATAAACTGAAATCCTAGACTTATGTACTGTGTAAATCAGGAGAAATAAATTAATTCATTTTGAATTACTTTTATTGATCTGCATTAATTCTACTCACATTATTACCTAAACTATGAAAAAAGTGCGCTTTATTATTTTTTCTCCATTTTTGTTTATGTTGCATCAAATAAAAAAAAAAGCCCTTTCTCTCCTTTAGCAAATATATAATATGTATGGGGCCCATGAAGTGGAACTAAATTATAGCTCAAATTTGTTTTAGTTCAGAACATGAACAATTACCTCTGTCCTTAAGGGGTTAAACAATGAAATAATCTGCAAAAATCATCATATATAGGGTTTCAGTGCTACCCAACAGCATGGTTAAAATTATTATTATTGGCATTTATATATCTAGCACCAACTTATTCAGCAGGGCTTTATAATATTTTATAATATATACAGATGAAAATTGGTCCATTAATACTGACTTGAAACTTTATGCCTTTAGAACAAAATTGCATAAGACCTACATGTGTCAGTTTCAGTGGAATAGCACATATTTCATGTTTACACCTTGTATATTTTAATTCTTGCGCTCTGAGTGTATATTATAAACATTGCCAAATCCTCAATACGCACAAAGCCTTACTTTAGAAGTTATGTCATTCAGGAACCTAAAGGTTTGATTGCAGCTATGGAAATGAATTCCAGACTTATTTAAACAACATGATTACAGGTAGACTTTGCTAAAGCTTCACTGTACCTAAGCCCATTAGCTCTTAATCTTAATGTATTTGGGGATTTTAATTAATATAGCATTACATGTTATAAGACACTTAAGACCTACCAAACTGACAGCATTGGAACCAAGGCCAACAAACAACGAGGATGCCAACTGCTTCCGTTCTTTCTCTTCTTCAGACAAGGGAGCCAATTGCTGGTCAGCAGGATTTGCTGTGACATCTTCATCCTCATCGCCCAATGAAATTCCACTCTCCAGTCGAGTTGAAATAGGTTCTAATTTACTCAATTTATTCTCCTTTTTCAAGAGGTATCCCTCCTTTCCCCAGAGCTTTTTCACGCCATCTAACTTAATGCGATTTTCCCTACGAAAGAAAAAAACATTTTATTTGATCCAGTTTTCTTAAAGTTAGTTTTTAAACAATTCATTTTCTGAATGTGACTTATATCAAGGTGTCCAGTGGTTCCCAACGGTGTATCACTCCAGAGACCCAATCTATAACACTGAGGAGTTGCCAGACATTCCATGGCAGGGCAGTCGCTAACATATTTCCTGGAAGCTGGGAATATCACTGAAAGAAGAAACTGGAGCGTGTATATTTGTAAAGTTGTATATATTTCATTTATAACAAGAGAGCGTGTCTAGACATATACTTGAGATGAATGTGTACTAGGGATCGACCAATTATCGGTCTGGCCGATATTCGGTATTTTCGGCAATATCGGTATCGGCAAATAGAGATACCGATATTGCCGATAATACATACCAGGACCGCCGGGCCCATAACAAGCCAGCAAGCGCTTACTTACCTTCCCAGCAGCTCCCTTCAGCTTCCCTGTCTAACTCTTGCGAGTCCCGCAGCAGTCAGAGCGTTGCCACAGGTTACCATGGCAACGCTCCGCACAGCACACAGGCCGCGAGATTTAGACAGGGGAGCTGAAGGGAAGGTAAGTAAGCGCTTCCTGTGAGCCACCACTGCACAGTCCATGCCACCGGACCACCAGGGAATGCCATATCCCCCCCCCCTGGCAAAGTAAGAAGCAGGGAGAGGGGACTAAAAAAAAAAAAAAAAAAAATTATATTTAAAAAAATATTTAAAATAAAAAATGTCCCTGCATTTTACACAAATTACATACCTACAGAAACACACACTGCATTCACTACACACTACACAAATGCACACTGCATTAATTATATACACACACTACACAAACACTCACTGCATTCATTATATAAACACTACACAAATACACACTGCATCCACTACACACACAAACACTACACAAACACACACAGCTCCCCTGTCTAAAACACACTGCATCCACATGTGGCATGCATATTTTGTGCATTTACCTTTAGAAATATTTTATTTTTTCAAAATGGTAAATGTACAGAATATCAGTAAATTATCGGCTATCGGCCTGAAAGTTCACAGATTATCGGTATCGGCTCTAAAAAAACAATATCGATCGATCCCTAATGTGTACATGACAAGACTATGTCAGAATTAACAACGATAGAGAATATAGAGAATTGAAAGTGAATTTTAAATGTAAGGCCAAAACAGTTCAACTGGAAAAAGTCTCTAAGTGAAATATATATATTTTTGAATTAAAAAAAAAATACATTTTGAATTTCCAAGTATTCTCATTTCAGCGAATAATCCTGTATGTGTGTTTAAAATAAACTGTTCCAAAGAAATAGCAAGTTTACAAAAGTTAATGTATGTAACAGTGTATATGAATGGGTAGCAGTGTGCATGCATGGGTAAAGTGCTTGAATAGGTGTAATTGTCATATTACTGTGGCTCAACATTGGGTGGGCTGTGAATGCTATGGGCAGGGAGCACTGTCTAAATAGCATAGCATCCCAACCACTACAATCAGTTGCAGCAGTTACAGCTCGGAGTGTAAAATTGTAATAATTAAATTCATATATTGCAGTATGGATGACAAGGTATACACTGACATATATAGTACAATTCATAATAACATTTCTCATTTCATGGTTTTACAGAGGTGCCAGATCATTATCAGACAATTATCTAATTTTGTTAAACCAAGATCACAGCTGTGTCAAAACAAAAAATACATTCAAGAACATCTGCATGTGTAAGTTAATTGTTTTATCTAACACAAGATAATGGTATGGGATAGTTTCAGATTTCTAAATCCAGTTCTTTTGGAATATAAGGAATTTGCAGGTAACGTACTCTCTCTGTCCGGTGTCTGCGCTGTTACCCGAGGTCCCTGACATAACAGAGATGGCAGAGGGAGAATGGCCATCAGCCACACCAGTAGAGGGCAGACTAGGTGAGAAACACAGCCCATATGGTTCCATGTTCAGAGCTACGACAAACAAGAAGAAAATCCCATGATATAAAATATATAAAAACTAATTGAAATATGCATTGCTATTTGCTAACATTTGCCAAAATATAAAGTAAATATTGCTGTATGCTTACAAATAATTGTTTTAGAGATTTAGAGCTGCATTACACAAGTCTCAAAACCTTAGCAAAACACAATGCTTTTCTTTGCTTAAATTAATAATTGCTATAATCCACATCAGTGTGACTGGGTAGTCAGCAATATTTAGTTTCATTACCAATTCACTAAAATAGGCCTTGAACGTTTATTCTGACAATTCATACAGGTGTCCAAACTTGGATTACTTACAAACCCTATATGTAAAAAGCAGTGTTGTGACAGATGTGTTACTGCACCCTCTTCGGCATTATTTAGAGAATACTGTACGGCATGAAGTTATATAGTGTTATCATAATGGCATGAAAATGGTAATTAAAGGAAGACATACAGAACATTAGGAGCTTTGAAAGTCTGAGATTTTCCCTTAGAGATAGTGCAATGGATTCCAAGGTTTTAACAAGTACATTTCCCACATCATCAAAAGACACTTTAAAACTGAAGTAAACCCCAGATCCAGAGCCACAATAGAATAAGGTTTCCCAAAGTCAACAGCTTGCATGCAGCTTAACACTGCACAAAGTAGCAAGATTCATTTTTAACGTCAAGAGGCAGCAAGAAAAGAAATTGCTTCCAAGATGGCAAAAAAAAAAAAAAAGCATTTTATGGCTTTATGGACAGATGAATCAAAATTTAAGATCTTCAGCCCTTGTTGACAGTATGCAACGGTGAACATAGTCTCCAGACTTAAACCCTATTAAGCTGGTTTGGGATGAACTGGACAAAACGTTGAATGCAAGGTAGACTACAAGTTCAACACATTTGTGGGATCTTCAGCAACAACATGCGTGTATTCAGCTGGTATATGTGCAAAAGTTACTTTGATGAATCAAAACTGTAGATGACATTTTGGTAATCTTAATATATATATATATATATATATATATATATATATATATATATATATATATATATATATATATATATGAAAAAACAAATACATATTGGCACTCTAGTGCCAGGAAAACATACTAGTTTTCCTGGCACTATAGTGCCCTGAGGGTGCCCGCACCCTCAGCGTCCCCCTCCCGCCCGGCTCTGGAAGGGGGAAAGGGGTTAAAACTTACCTTTTTCCAGCGCTGAAAAAACACTTTGGTTACATCTGTAATGCAATTGACGTTTCGACCCCTATGGATCTTGACCTGTGAGTGCACCCCTGATATTATTTGGAGATATATATATATATTTATTTTCCAATTAATGTTGTATTATGAAAACTCTTGCCTGATACAGTACAATTTAAAAAAGTGTGAGAGTGGATGGATGAAGCAAACAGGACCAATCTGCACTGTATTAGTGATAAAGTGGCATTTTCACACCAAACTTACCTTTCTCCTAATGTTTCCTCTTCTCTTTCTCTCTCAGAATCTATTCTATTTTTTCCCCCCCATTTCTGATGTAGTTTTCTTAGAAACAGAAGACAAAGTCGGGACTCCATTTCCTGTGTCAAAGAAAGTACTCACCCTTCTCCTTGACACAGGAAATGGAGCGGACTTAAGCTCTTCCTTTGGTTAGAGAAAATAAAGCATAGGGAAAAATATATAAGACAAAGTAGATCCTACTTTGTCTTATGTTTTAAAGAAAACTAGATCAGAAATAAAGAAAAGAACAGATTCTGAGAGAGGAAACAATAGGAGAAAAGTAAATTTGGCATGACAGTGCTGCTTTAAGGACCATTTCTTAAGCTTTTTTGCAGCCTAGTTAAGAGATGTGTCAAAACAGGATTATGGTAAAAACTACAGATATGCATATTATATTTCATTCTGGAATTCATATATATGGATATTACAAATAGTCTGCAATATTCTATTAACATATATACAGTTGGGGGGCGTGGCCACGCAACGATCCAAGATGGACGCGTAAGCCACGAGCTCCTGCATAAGGGACCCATACTCAGCGAACAGCACAGCACACAGTGCCGCACAAACGAACCTACCTGGGTGCCTGGCAAGCATGGCACAGCGCTCAAGGAAAAAACCGAGGCAGAGAGCCGTAGATCTGCAAGTTACAGCCCGCACCTCGCCGCAAATGAAATTCCAAGATGGCGCCGACGGCCCATCTTCACCGGCATCCTGCTCCGATAAGAGCGACGGTACATCCGTCTCTCTACTAACCTCTGCACCAGCAACAGACTCCTCAATCCAGAGGATGCTAGCAGACCTCAAAAGCTCCATGCAGGTAGAATTTACAAAACTGGCGAGGGACATTAAAGCAGATATCCAGGCCATAGGCAAGCGTATCGCCCATTTAGAAGACAAAACAGACGAGATCATCACAGCACACAACACATTAGCAGATGCTCATGCAGACATGGCTGCCAGACTTGACCTACTAACTGACAAGGTGGCAGACCACGAAGACAGAGACAGGAGGAGCAATATCCGCATGAGAGGTATTCCGGAAGATGTGGCTCCCCAAGACCTGGCATCCTATGCTGCAGACCTCTTCCAAGCAATATCCCCAGCCCTATCTCAATCAGATCTCCTCCTAGATAGGATTCATCGCCTCCCACGACCAAGAAATCTGCCGCCATCTCTCCCACGTGACACTATAGCCAAGTTTCACTATTTCTCGTTCCAAAGACAAGATTATGAGAGCCTCAAGGCTTCTCCCCGAATTGCCGGGCAGATTTGCTAAAATACAGCTCTACATCGATCTTTCAGCTGCCACGCTTCTCAAACGGAAAACGCTAGCACCCATAACAACAGCCCTGCGAGGCGCAGATATTCACTACAAGTGGGGGTTTCCAGCACGGCTGATAATCCGTCGCAACGGAGTAGAAAAACATATCACCTCGATAGAAGAAGGCCAAAGAATGCTTAAAGAATGGAATGTCCCTTTCAGAGTACCTTTGGACAACACTACGCTAAACCTGTCCCAGCGCTCCTTGACACAGGTCTCCAGAGACTGGAACACCACCTCCACAGCTAAATGACTTTGGCATATCATGCTCACTATGATATAATGCTCCACCCTAACCTCAATTCCACGGACTGGTAATGTTATCATAAGCTCTTCACATACTGCCATAGCATATAACATGTACTTTCCTGTTTTACTATTCTCAGAGTCCTTAGGCTGTTTTACAGCCCATTTTGTTTCTTTCTCTTTATGTATAATTGTGGGACTATAGTGAATTCCAGCGGGCTTCGTGACCCAGTATAGATAAACAATACACTGCACGTCCTAACAACCATACACAGGCATATGTGCCAGGACCCCACCAAAGGGCCCTGTGATGTCACATAAGTCCCCTGCAGGGCAATCCATTGACTTCCCCCCATTAGGCCACTACTGGCCTCCTTACCGCCGTCTGTACGCTTTGGTACGGCTTTCGACGGCTCTCTGTATATAGTTATACTGTTTTTCTGTATTTACAAGTTTTCCTTGGTGTCACCTACCGCAATATCGACCCAACCACGGGACACGCAATGCCCATACAAGCTAGCTTGTACCACCTCACTCCCCTCTATGGTACACACTATTATGGTGACCCACATGCCTTGCAAGGCACCATCTTTGCTTGACTGGCAGACATCCATAGCCCAACACAGAGGTACTGACAAGATATATGGCTTACAGACTGATCTAGAAGTGAAGAACGAGATCAGACAAACTGTCTCGAATAGCAACCTCACCTAAACCTACAACATGACTCTCACAATCTTATCGTTAAACACCAAGGGTCTTAACACGCCTCATAAGAGACGACTAGCGCTGGCAGAAGCTAAGAAACACAAAGCTCTGGTAGTTTTTTTACCAAGAAACCCACTTTAAATGGGGGCATAGACCGAAATTCAATTCCACTCTTTACCCCATAGACTTCCACTCATGCTACAAAACAAAAAAACGAGGGGTATCCACTCTGATCAGCAAAGACGTATCCTTCACACTCGTTAAAAAAATAGGAGATAAACACGGTAGATATTTAATCATCCAATGCTACATAAACCATAACCCATACACGTTGGTAAATATGTATGGACCGAATGAGAACCAACATGAGTATATGATCAAAGTCTTTGGGCTAATCTCTTTGTACCGCTTTGGAGATGTACTTCTGGGAGGTGATACTAATTGCTTATTGGATGCTTCCTCAGATACCTCCTCCAAACACTCACAACGCACTAAAACTGCTAACAAACTAACGACCCTAACCTCTAAAATAACACCACACTATCCTCTCCCACGATTTTGTGGATCCCTGGAGGATACTCCACCCCACGGCCATAGATTATACCTTCCAATCAGCAGTGCACAACACGTACACGAGAATCGACCGGTTTTTGATACCGGCCAACTACATGGAAAAAAATCCAACAGGCAACAATAGGCCCTATTACGTGGTCAGACCACGCGCCCATTTCATTAACTATTCATGAACAACACCCGTCCACAGGAAAGGGCACCTGGAGACTTAATGACACTTTACTTACCAACAGAGACACAGTAGCAGCAATCCAGAAAGACATAGAACACCATTTTACTGAAAACCCCTCAGAAGACACAAGCATTGAAACAGTATGGCAAGCACACAAGGCTGTCATCAGGGGCACACTCATTAAAATAGCTAGCTATCAACATAAACAACGTAAATTGCGCTACACGAAACTTATAAAAGACATCACAGAATTAACACATAAAAACAAACAACAACCGTCAAAAGACACACAACAGCAACTAGCCACATTGCAAAAAGAACTTCACCACTATGAACTAGCGAAAACTACCCATCTACTACAGAGATACAAACACAATTTCTTTACTAAAGGTAATAAAGCAGGGGCTTTACTAGCCGCACAACTCAAAACCCGCTCACAGCAAACGAAAATTGCACACATCCAAACTCCTCAAGGTAAAAAATTGATAAATCCACAAGAAATAGTGGACGAATTCGCACTCTATTACAGCTCCCTCTACAATCTTAAAGACAGTGCAGACATAGTCCCACCCTCCCCGCACTCCATCACCCACTTCTTACAATCTGTCAACGTTCCCAAACTGCAAGACTCCGACATTGCGACTCTCACCATTTACGATGGAAGAAGTAGGGAAGACGATCCTGGCCTTGGATGCGGAAAAGGCCTTTGACAGGGTCAGCTGGGAATATATGCGGCAAGTTCTACACAAATTTGGCTTCCCAGCTGGCCTTGTCTCAGGCATCATGGCCCTATACAATAGTCCACAGGCGAGAGTATCCAATTCTGGTTTTCTATCCACACCTTTTAGTATCACCAACGGTACCAGGCAGGGATGTCCATTGTCACCATTACTGTATATTCTGTCCCTGGAGCCCCTGGCAGCTACCATTAGGCAACATAATAAGGTCACAGGCGTTAACATAGGAAACCACACATTCTGCCTCTCCATGTTTGCAGATGATATATTACTCACGGTCCAAGACCCCGAAAAATCTGTCCCGGCACTAATACAATTGCTCCAGCAGTATGGACAACTTTCCTACTACAAGCTAAATCAAAGCAAAACACAGGCTCTACCAATTAATCTACCAAGTTCACTGATAACACAACTTAAACAATCACACTCCTTCGACTGGAGAACTACCGACATCACATACCTAGGAGTAAAACTTGGCCCATCCCCTGCAGAAGCATTCAAACTAAACTTCAAACCACTAATACCAATGTGCAAAACACATACCCAACAATGGAAAGCAGTAAAGCTCTCCTGGCTGGGAAGAATCAATTCAATAAAGATGATGCTTCTGCCTAAACTTCTATACAAATTTAGAATGCTGCCGATTTACGTCAATCCGACGTTTTATAAGCATATTCAAGCCATTCTCTCCTCCTTTATTTGGGAATCACGCAAACCACGGCTCTCGATATCACTTCTTCAAAAACGTTCGGACAAAGGCGGACTGGGGTTCCCAGATATCCACAAATACCATAAAGCATCCTTCCTAGAGGCAGCTATAAAACTCCACACTCCCAAAGGGACTTTTCAATGGGTGGACATGGAAAACGCTAGGGCGCCTGGCGGCTCCCTGGTAGGGATGTTATGGACCCCAACACATACAAGACCAAACATGCCCCACCTTTTCAATACCTCGATCACTACTATTAAACACTGGGACGCGGTACACCGCACCCAGCACAAAATCAACAAGTTTCACCCGCGGGCCCCGATAACGGCATTGAACTCCCTGGCCCCAGGGTTGACAATGAACTCCTGGATAAAACACGGCATAAAACACATAGTAGACGCATACCACAACTATGAACTCTTGTCCTTTCCAGATCTTCAACGGAAATTTGATTTACCTAACGCCTCCGTCTTTCAGTATCTCCAACTTCAAAGCATTGCCACCTATAAAATACTTACAAAATCAGACATGACATCCACCAACCTACACCATCTAGACATGTTACATGACCAATGCTGGCTCTCACCTACAAAGCCCAAGACGTTATCTCTATGCTACAACATACTGCTGGACGCAATTGCCACGAAAGCCCCCACTTACGAACAACAATGGCACGCGGAATACATCTCCTCGCCGTCAGGCAACACCTGGTTGCAATCACTCAAAGGTATCACCAACTGTTACTCGCATCTAGAAGCACACAAGAAGCTGGTTTATAGGTGGTACTTAACACCAAGTAAACTGCACAAAATTTACCCCTCAGTCTCTGAGTGGTGCTGGCGGTGCAGGGGTGCAAAAGGCACAATGTTCCACATATGGTGGGAATGTACTTCTACGTTACGTTAAAGACATTCTCGAGCTGCTCAATATTACTAATGTCACATTGGACCCTTTAGCATGTTTATTCCTGCTACTCCCTCCCTCCTTGACCAGACCCCTTAAACAAGTGACGATACTTACAATCCTGGCTGCTAGAAATCTCATAGCGCAAGGATGGAAACACACCTCCTGCCCCACTAAACAACAACTGATGGACAAGCTCCACCAATACTATATTTATGAACAACTGTCTACCACCTCCATCACACAATCACTGAAATTCCAAGACGCATGGAAAACATGGGCCGATATCTACACACCACATAAGAAACACGACGAAAACCACACGACATACCCTAGCAGTAGTAGTACTCTCCACCTCGAATCTTAAACGCGGGCAATCACATACACACTCGGACAGAAGGGTGCCTAATCACTTCATACGGGGCATACCACACCCACAGACAGTTTAGGTGACACCACATATGTTGACATATGTTTGATGTTATATATAGGATGTTATAGACCAGCGGAAAACTTTATTACCCCCTGGTTACCCCTCCCTATCCCTCCTCCCCCCCCCGCCACAAATACACGACCTATAACACTGTTTTAGATAAGAACAGGGAAAGTAGTCATCCAGTTCCCTCCACGCGAGACCTCGCTACAAACACTGTAGACATACTATGTATAGGTGGTCTAAACAACGATGCACTTAAGCATGGAATGTTAATTGGTCCTAAATTGTGATTGTGATCTATTGCCCCCCCCCCCCTTTTTTTCTGTTTCTGTATCCCACTCCCCTATTGCTTTATCAAAATAATAAAAAACTATGATTACAAAACATATATACAGTTAACTTACAAAAAAAAAAAAAAGTAGCGTAGTGTACACTACTTGCAATTTCTTGCAAAGCATGCCATCCAACAGTGTCCCAGTAGAGGTCACTACATAGATAACATTTTTATTTTGGTTCTGTGTAGGTCGTAGCAATGTTACAGTCACTTTATTAAGAGTCTATCCTCTAACACACAAATTGTTACCATGATGAAATATCTGTTTTCCCATCTGGTCCGTGTGTAGGTTGTGGAGCTGGACCTTACATAAACAGTGGATTACCTCAGAGCTGGCCCAGTTTAGACATTAAACGCTTGGTGAGAGGAGTCACAATCTCATCTATTTACAATCCCTTTTAACGGAGCTCCCTGACCTAAGCACATGCATTCTCCTGCAATAACCTGCCAGCATCCCTGAAGGGTCATCAGAGAAATGCTAAACAGCAATACATAATAAATAGTACAGTTTCCAAAGTCTCTCTCACAAAAGGAATAACTAAAACACATTGAACATTAAATGTGCTACAGCAAGTTTAAAACTATTTGGGTTAAAATGAACAGGAAATGGTGTCAAAATATGTTAACATAAATATTCAATATGCGCTGATAACAGGACACATAAAACAGAAGTGAGAAAATGGAAGTGCTCAGCTCCATGCTGCAAATCATGGCAGCTCTATATTGTGTTATGTAGTCTAGGCATCAGACTAATCCGAATTGCTGGGAGCTTTGCATTAACAAATATTGATAACAAATTATTACAACAAAAGGTCATATCGAGATGCTTCTGTTTTTTTTTTGTTTGTTTGTTTTTAAATATATCCATCTTTACTTTGTAGCAGATGTAATAATCAAAATGACTATTCATTTATTACACTAAAGTATTTATATAAACATAGTAATTACCCTTGTTGTTTACTGATGTCTGGTGTTTGGGAAACACTCAGTGTTATTCACTAGACTCCAAATTGTAACAAGATAAAATATGAATGTTAAAACATAGGCAAAAGTAGACGATTTGGAGAAATTCTTCAAATGTGCTATAGTCACAACATTTTAGCTTAAATGTTATTCCAATTCCGGATCCCTACAGTAATAGTTTCTTGAATAACCCTAAAAGAATAAAAAATGAGCAGGATTTGATTTCCTTTCACATTTTCTTAAAAGCAGGGTCCTTAATTATGATTTAAGCTTATTTATAAATAAGACAGCCATAATATTTTTAAAGCAATGCCAATGGAAAATGTACTTTGCAATTCTAGATTAAAATGACTTTCTAAACCATGTGATGAGTTTTACTTTATATATGGAAACCAATAAGTATCCCATTTCAGTCATTGCTTATAATCAGAATAACTCCCTATAAATACTCGATAACTAATAGCATACAGTGACATTTATAATTAGCCGGGTGGTTAAAGTGTACATACAGTATAGTGTATGGATTTGAGTTTAAAAAAATAAATAAAATAGAAAAGTTCCAGAAAGGACGCATGGGAATCTTTTGCAAATCAATACTGAACGCTATGGGCTGTGCACATGTGTATTATTGCTTAATGCTTATTTCAGTACATGAATGTCCTGTAATAAAATATTGTATGTTCCCTCCTGTTTACACTGCTTCCCTTTCAATAGGCCAGCTGGTAGATTTTGGCACCTACCTGCACTGATAAGCCAAAAAAAATAAATAAAACAGGTGGTTTAATTGCAGCAGATGATGCAGGATGCCAGGTATAAACACATAGAATATAAAACAAATAGCATATCAACAACAGCAAAGGGGAAAATAAATAAACAAAACAATGCACATCATAATTACAACTGGTGAGAATATAAGTAATTTAAAAAGGCATGTTGTGGAAATTTATTTAAAGAGATTACATTTGAAGAATAAATGGATGCCACCACTAGTGTCTGTGTATTTACTTTATATACGCCAGGTGTAAGGGTAAGTACTAAACGTCTCAAACAAATTCTCCTCTGGAGCTCTTCACAGACTCAAATATCAGGGCGGACAATGAGGAGGTCTCACCATCAGTTAAAGTGGCTTCTTCCGCAACCAACATACCATAAATCTTCAGTGTTTTCACTCCTGCTTAATGATCTGTCATGCTGTAGGTAGCATTCAAGGCATGGACTGTTTATATATAAAAAACAAAACATTTTAGCTAATATACTCATACCTTTTCCCTGAGACAATTTTTCTTCTTGCCGCTGGTGATGAGGCATGTAGGGTGCAGCTCCTTTGCCAAGAGCATCTGCTACAAATTCATCTAAGAAGGAAAGAGAAGCATCTACCTAGAAAGGCAGAAAATCATATCAGACTATTCCTTTTATTCCACACCAAAAAAAAAAAAAAATAAGTTATAAAGACAGTCAACAAGATTCTACAATAGTTTATGACCGAACTGGAAAGGCAGGTATTATAGTTATGCATACAGTGCTAACTGATTCAATTATTGAAATAACAGCTTCAACTCTTGTGGATTTCCCTCCAATTTATACCACACCCAGTAAAATAAACTAGTTTAGTGTAGCACTTTCATTTACTTTCCCTAACCATGTAAGGTTTCAGTAAGCTTGTGCCAGTGTATAAATAAAACAAAGAAATATATAGTGTAATACAGTACAACCCCACCTTTTATATATCAGGATAGAGGCAATTTTCCAACTTCTCAACAAAACAAAACCTTAAATTTGAGCTATAGGTTTGTTTCACCGAAATTAAGGTGTTTCTCTTCAAATGCCCCCATACATATTATATATACATTTTTTAAAGGACAGGGAGGGCTTTAATTTTACATCATATATGTGTACCTAGCACAACCAAAAAGGGGAGGGTGGCTGAGGTATCCATTGAAACTTGGGGTTCCCTGTTGTAAACAGGGAATTTAACCCTGATCATTCCACAATCTTTTAATGGGCATTTCCAATGCTTATTTAAAGAGCTGTTTGCAGCACTGGATTCCAACTTGTCTGAAGTGCACTTTGTTAAACAGTATTTCAGTGCAGCTGAAGCCATATGTGACACTTCTCAGCTGATGGATTAACAACATCTATTTGTTTAAAAAAAATAAAGCGAGTATAACGTCTGCCTTTTTAAATCTTGTTTCTGCAGAATGAAAAGCTGTACAGCACAAGGCTTAGGAATAACCGTCTAAGCAAAAAAAAAAAAAAAAAAGACTTATTTTTACCATTAAATCTTCACAGCTGGAGTTGACTGGAAAAAGTCTCTGCATGAGTACGACGTCCAATAGGAGAGATTTTAATTCCCAGGCATGCTGCCTCATGCCTGTCTCCAGACAGGTGCTGTACTCTTGGATTAATTTATCAGCCAGTGAAGAATGTGGGCTGTGAACAGCCAATTTCTTTATTGCAGCCATAATCCAGGCTTTGGTTTCAGATGTAACGAAGCTTTGTTTCAGAAAGGTGTAAAGTCTTGCCATTACAGAGTCTGTAGGTACATCTATTGCAAGGTAGGCATATTCACCCAACACCTTTAAAAAAATATAAGATCTGCATTACTTAAATAGTACAAATTATTGAATTTATCCTTTGCCAATATACTAGTACATTCAGTTTTACTTCAAACAGGGCTAGCCCTGTTAAAATTTCTTTAATGAATACAAGAAATGTGTGCCTCAATGATGTGGAAAATTACACACAAAAAAAAGATGAAAGTATTATCGACTTTGTTTAAACAAGCCGCAAATAACGTTTCAGCGCAAAAGGCCATCATATATTTAGCATAAGCAGATTTAAAAGTTGGAAATTTGTGTAATACAAGATGTAGCTGTGCTACTGTTAAATCCACTGTTAGTACGTTAAGAATTGTATAATTAGAACTTAGTCAGTGTGAAACACTCAATTTACATGAACGCTGCAAGGCCAGCTCCAAAGACTAGGAACAGAAATGCTGAGATCCATTACTTATTCTCCAGCTCAAAGAGAGGCTTTTTTGCTTAATATATTTCTCACCCAGCTGATAACCTGCAGGAAGCGCTGAGGATAATATGCATTCTCCTTTTCCAGCAAGGCGAGATAAGACTGAACTGCGTAAAGCTTCAGCTGCCCATCTTCCTTTTCATCGTCAAATCCTGGCAAAATGAAAAAGGGCAGGGTTTTTTTTGTTAAGTATTCAGGGCACACGATGAACAAAACTAAGATAAGGCTTCTTTATGAACAGGTAAAACAAAATTAAAATAGAATAAAATAGAATATATTTTTGTGCAAAATCATTTAGTTTCATAAATACATCAATAACAGTGTATGTGTTCTAACCTTAGAAAGCACAATGGAATAGGGAGCAATCATTTTAACCTACTACCAACCTACTGAGCAGATGTATAAGATTAAAAAAAAAACAATACCTATGACAAATCCCTGACAATATAACAAGATTAAAATATCCTATGTGTATGCATGAATGATTTATGCTATTCCTGTTTTTTAACCTCTTTCTTTTAAGGTCAGAATGTTATACTATTGTGTTGTATAAAATCCAGCATGCTAAGCATACAAACAGGAAAACAATAATAATATGCAATGGTTGCAAGTCGTACTAGCTATCTGTTTAGTGCACATCATATTTCAAATAAGCCTAGTGATAATGGATTGTCAACTGAAAAAAAAAATACAAAAAAAAACAAACAAACCACTTTTAAAACTGGTTTGTTATAAGAGAATAACATCTTATTAAATATCTCTCCCAATCCTCCACAACATTTGCTTTATTAGGATACCATCTTTCTACTACTTCTTATAGAGTACATTCTGGTCCTAGAAATTATTGGTGTGCACAGAACAAAGGCTGTGCACAATGGGCTTTGTTTTTTGTTAATAAGTCACTCCTCCTGCACTTAAATCCTTGCAGTGCTGAATTAAGTATGCCCAAAAGTTCAGACTCCATTCACATAACTAGAAAACTTCTAATGTAAAGGTACTTCTAGTGTGGACAAAACTCAAGCCTGATGTTGCAACGTGCTACACAAGACTAAGAGCTAATCAAAGCACCGAAACGACTTGAGCTTAATGAAGTGGTGTTTCAGTGTATAGATAGGAATGGGCAACCTTCGGCACTCCAGATATTGTGGACTATATCTCTCATGATGCTCTTACAGCCATGATGCTGGCAAAGAACCAGGGGAGATGTAGACCACAAACTAGTGCCAAAAGGTTGCCTAACCCTGGAAGAGATCATGCACCAGGTAATGTCTTCTTCTGGAGCCATAGCCACACCTCCCCTAGCTGTGACTCCCATAGTCTCCCTCTACACTTGCTGAGAACATAGATCCATTTTGAAACTATATTACATTCAGCTCGGCTTCATTAGTCTTTACTTTAAAACTTGCATGGAGTAAGCTTGTGGTCTCTTATCTGCCTACTCAGAGCTATAAAGCAGTTAACAGTAATTTAGGTGATGAGTGTGTTTACTTTAGAACTTGCAGAGTGGTGGAGGATCCTGCATGCTCCTGTGTGAGAGAAGGATAGAGGAAACGAATTCCAAGCAGACTGGAAATTCATTTACTATAGCCATTTCCACTCCAAATACCGTCCTCCCAACCGAACCTGCGCCATTTGGCCGTATGCATCTGGTGTCAACTTTAAAAACCCTGCTCTTTGCATATGACTTAGGGGATCTGGGTGTTTTGTTTTTGTACTTGTGTTTATAATAGATTACAATGTGTTTGCAGAAATAACACTCACCTTAGAAAATAACACTGTAAGTCCTACCAAGCCTGACAAAGGCAGGCAGACAACTGGGCATTTTTGTCTTTGGGAGATTTTATAGTCTGAAGAGGAGGAGGAGGAAGAGGAGAGCCTTAGCCTTTTAACATTTTATTTCTAAAAAGTTTATTTTTGCCTTTTGCCAAAAAAATATGCAATATCCCTAATGTGGCACTGTCTCCAAAATAGGGGGTGAGCGGAGAATGCATTCTGTAACCTAGACATTCCTTGTAAGTTAAAGGGATGGTTTAGTAAATCAACCAAACGCAAGGTTATTCACTTATGTGTGAATTATCAATAATTCCAAGTTCATTTCAAATTTCAGTCAGCAAAAGCTGAATCCAAAAAGTCAATTTAATGTTCCCAGTTCAGATATTTTGGCATAAAATCTGAAATTCACTTTGAAATTTGAATACGATGTGCTCCAAATAGAAGGACAGACGAAAAAAATAAAAAAACAACATACATAAAAAGTGTGATTACAGACATTTATATTTTTATAACCCATATCCCCTTTAGTCATATCCCCTTAGATCAAGGTACAATTCTAGCTGCCCCTCACAAACAGAATTGTTGTGACATATAAGACAAGTATTTGTTACTAATATTCTGTAACATATTCCATACCTTCAGCCAGGAGCTTTAGGAAGTTGTTAGGAATATCTGGGTGCACCACATCTCCTCCAATAGAAAACACTACATTCATGGTCTGTATGAACCACTGGTTGTTTGGGGAATACGTGAGAACCATATTAAGGAAAACACCATACATTTCTTGCAGGTCACAAACATGATTTCAATTTAGAAACCTAAAATGTTTCACTTTAATCCGACACCCTGTTTAGAGTAACAACATTTTTTAAACAGTTAAAGGACCACTCTAGGCACCCAGACCACTTCAGCTTAATGAAGTGGTCTGGGTGCCAGGTCCCTCTAGGATTAACCCTTTTTTTTTTAATAGAAAAACTGCTATGAAACAGAAACTGCTATGTTTATAATAGGGTTAACCCAGCCTCCAAATCCTCTAGTGGCTGTCTCATTGACAGCTGCTAGAGGCGCTTGCGTGATTCTCATTGTAAATGCTTTCCTATGAGACTGGCTGAATGCGCGCGCAAGCTCTTGCCGCGCGTGCGCATTCAGCCGGAAGGGAGGAGAGGAGGAGGATCGGAGGCGGAGAGCTCCCCGCCCGGCGCTGGAGAAAAGGTAAGTTTTAACCCTTTCCTCTCCCCAGAGGGGCGGGAGGGGGACCCTGAGGGTGGGGGCACCCTCAGGGCACTATAGTAGCCCTTTAAGCTATTGTTGCAACATTTGAATGTACATTAAATCTCTATCTAGTACTTTTCAGTTAGCTACCCGCCATACTATGGTCCATGTTAATCATGTTACACGCTGAGAAACCGGAGCATGACGGGCTGATAGTTTGTCTCGGTGACTTGGTGATTGATCTTTTAACAGAGTGGCAATCGGATGATATTCAGCTTCTCAGACTGTTACACATGGAGTTAAAAAACATCTCTAATGCATGCCATTATTATACTAATGTTAAACATTGTTTCAAATGTGTTGGGATGAAGCCTAGCCTACTTTGTGGCATTTACATGGTTCTTTACCATGTGAGATTTGCAAGGAATTCAAAGTGAATTTCAAATTTGAGGTAGAACTAGCTGAAAAGAAGCAGTTGACTTGGATAAATTTTTACAGGATTGTTTTACAGTTCATCTACTTTGGCCTTAAATTTGAAATGCACTTGTAACTTAAGTAAATAACCATGTTAATGTTAATGCAAAGAGAGATGGTGTAATTATCGTGAATCTGAACACTAGAGGTATTTTTAGCCAGCTTGATTTAAAAGAGGCACAATCATATTCTTGCTCTGTAAGATGGAGTTTGAAACCATTCTGTGTAGGGCAGCGTTGATCCAATATCTGAACACCTGGCTAACGGGACGTGGTTATGCTGCACAAAGCTAAAAAACGGTTTATAATAAAACAGATTTGAATGTGATTAAAAAAAAAACAACAAAAAAAACCATAATAAATATGAGGTAAAAACCTACCAAACGCTCTTGTGTTGTTGCCCAGAGTGTCCTCATAGTGATTTAATCTCTCAATAGAATGGCCCGTACGATGTGTACATCTAACTGTATTTCAACATATCAAATCGGAGGTTGATTAGCGTAACGGGATTTTAATCTATCTGCCAATAATATTACAGATACAGTAAAATGACAATCTGCTACTCCAAGTTGGATATGACTGATCTAGTCCACCTTCAAAAAATAATAAAACCAATTATAAACCTTTTATGTAGAATTAGCCACATGAGTTAGCAGCAAAGCACCCTGCATAATATAAGTGCATTATCATTTACTACGTGCATATTCATTCAACGGTCAGCCTCGGCACTGCACAATAGATATTTAGAATACAAAGGAACAATTTGGCTAGTTTTTAAGTCGGAGTATCGGAAAAACCTCCGTGGAAAAAGCTCCGTTCCATCTTCTATTTAACAGTGTATTAAATGGAATCTAATTAAGTTGATATGATTCTTACACGTACTTAAGCTTCCATGTTAAATGCCTTCTTGGAGGTCACAAGCTACCCCAGTGATTGCCATCAGAAATAATTAACCAGTGGCATGATAAGATATTTCAGAGTATGTAAGATCCATGGTCAGTATTTGTGCACATAATGATACTCTGAGAAAAACACTGCAAGCACTGTAATTACTCAAACTCTATGTGGAATCTATTGTCACACACACCACCATTACAGGGAAAAACAAACATAAGGTGCAACTGTTTCAGGTTATATGGAATATTGTAGGACACTACTAACTGGAAAATCTCAACCATGTCCTAAGCACTGTAGAATATCTAAGTTTAACGCAAACTAGCACTTCAGCGATATCGTGGTTATTATTTTCTATTTGCTTTTTGATTTGTAAATTGTTTTATTACATCATCTTCTATAGTTCATTACAAAAAAGGAGTTGCTCTTAAAAGGACACCAACACGAGAACCAACTTTAATGCACTTGATCGATTTTAGCCCCATTAATTATGCTATATTTTATGCATCATTAAAGGGTTACTCCAACTTGCTGTAGTGGTTATGATGCCAGGAGTTTCCCAGTAATAGGCAAACCCGATGACACCCATATGACGCTGCCAAAGGTGGAATTTCACCTCTGATAGCAGAAGGGTTAATTCCTGTATGTGCATTGTTTCAAAACAAACACAGTACATACAGACTCCAGGCATCATGACCACTTCAATTCACTGAAGTGGTCATGGTGTTTGGAGCAGTGCTTTAACTATGGATAGTGCTTTCACCATTCCTATTGTTCTTTTAAAAAAGGATATGCGTTTGTGGGGAAGTTTGAATAACAAACTAGCTAAACTACTCCAAAATGGAAAGTTAGAAGAAAACTGAATATCTGCATCTCAAATGTGCCCCTTCAGCATCCACATATACCTGGCAAAGGTACATACGGGGGTATTGTGTTACACAGACGACATAGCTAAGCAACATATGAAATATTATACAGCCGTAGCACACATAAGATTTGCAAAATATACTGTGCAAACTCACTTTGTGTGTTATTTGTATTATTACCACTACACTTGGTACATGCTAGCGAAAAAATGATCCCATGCTAAGGTTCAAAATATGCCTTTTGAAATACCATTTCTTAAAGAAGACATCCCAGAGTATGCCTTTATGGTGTAGTTGGAATATGTAGCCTGCTAAAGTGCTCCAAAATGGGACACAGACTCATCAAAACCCTCCATGAAAATTCACACTTAAAAACCTGAACTTGTCAAGTCTCTTTTACAGCACTGTATTCTCACAAAATACTGTCTAGGTCATGAATTGGGAATATTGTTTTACTCAGAAGATGTAACGGAGCATAATTTGGGGAATTTTATGACAGTGGCACATATCAAGTATAAGAAATACTCAGCAAAAATGCAACATGTATGTAAAAATGCAATTTTTCCCCCTCACCACAAACATTGACATAAATTGGTTAAAAAAATAGTGACAAGTTAAGGCACAATATACGCCATATAACATACCCTGGGGTGTCTGCTTTATCAAATGGAAGCCCTTTGTGGGGTTATTTGAACAGTCAAACTGCTATAATACCCTAAAATTAAACATAGGCCCATCATATCCATCTATGAAAATTATAACTATAGAAACTGAAATAGCCTTGTCTCTTATATGGCATTGCAGCTTCACAGAATAGTGCCAAAGGTATACAATGGGGGTATCGTTATACTCAGCAGATGCTGCTGAACACAATATGGGGTTCTGTGCAGGAATAGCACACACCAGCTTTACGAAATACACATTACAAAAACATTGTTATATGTGAATATGCAAAAATAGAGAAAAAAAAATTTAGCAGAGATTTGCGATGAAATGGCTACGTAAAAAGTGTAGTGATGTCTACTTTATATAAATATATACTTTGGCGTGGCAATTTTATTTTTCTGTGATGGCTACAAAAACCTACAAGACAAACATACCAACTTCTAAAATAGTTTCACATTGAAATTTTATTTTAGTCCTTGTATTTTGTGATCTGTAACTTTCAAAATAAGCTGAAATTCTATAAATCAAGACACAGTAAAGGACGAGACTATATTTAAAAGAAGAAAAACTACCACAACAAGAGGACAAAGTCTTAAATTAGAGGGACAAAGGTTTAAAAATAATAACAGGAAGTATTACTTTACTGAGAGGGTAGTGAATGCATGGAATAGCCTTCCAGTTGAAGTGGTAGAGGTTAATACAGTAAAGGAGTTTAAGCATGCGTGGGATAGGCATATGGCTATCCTAACTATAAGATAAGGCTAGGGACTAATGAAAGTATTTAGAAAATTGGGCAGACTAGATGGGCCGAATGGTTCTTATCTGCCGTCACATTCTATGTTTCTATTATGCACATGCTATTATTGCCGAAACTGAGAAAAAAATATATATATTTTTTTTATAATTAATGAGAATGAATGTATGTATGTATGTATGTCTGTGTATATATATATATATATATATGTGACATCAAATTAAAGCCCTTTCTGCCCTCTAAAAATTGTATGTAATATGTATGTAATATGTATTTGGTGCAATAAATGACAAAGATGCAAATTGCGTTTGAACACAAATAGCAAAAAGTGCAAAAATGGCTTCTGTCCTTAAGGGTAAAACAAGCTTTTGAAGCGGTGTCCTTAAGGGGTTACTTATTCTTGCATCATAAAATGTAAGCAATCATGAATCTAGCATACACTGGCAAATTATTTCAGTTCACTATAAAGAGCTAGGTAATTTCTTCATCCAACTGTTTTTATAATTTAATAATTGTTCAATACGAAAAAAACTCTAGCAACAAAATAATAAAAATAAAGACAAAAAAACTATCAGAACAAGGGCTTTTTGTGCAGTTTGCATCAAGATAATTTTATCAAATGCAATGTACTAAACATAATGGTTTCTACTGAATTGTATTATTAACTTTTTTTTTGTTCATTACCACTTTTTGAACACATACACAAAAAGGATATTTTTCTGCCAAGTCTGCAATCTTCCCAGCCAAGGCGATTATTGTATATTCATCTTTACTTTGCTTCAGATAGTCTAACATTTTCTGAACTATCACTGTTATATTCTGGTCATTGGTGATTCGATAGAGCAGCTCCAGTGTCTGTTGAAGACAAAAGAAGGACTGTATTAAAATAGTTTTAAGCCAACAGACTTTAGAGTACATTTTATTTTTTAATAAAAAAAAGCAGATTCAATTTATTTTTACGTATGATGTAGATTGCGTCTACTAGAGAGATTGAGATCAGTTCAATGCACACCTCATGCCAACACATGTTTATGATGCAAGGAGATTACAAAATCTGTTGTTTGGAGATACCATACTGGAAATACAACACCAGAAGAATGAAAATTGCAATATTCAATTATTTTGTTGGATGCACCACTAACCTGATTGCCAAGCTAATAAATGACACACATCCTGAAACTACAAATGTGGATCAGGTCCCACTAAATTTGCAAAGACCCAATATAGACCAGTTCATTTTTAGACCTGTACCTGTTAGTGTCATTAAGAAACACCTTAATAATCTAAAAATGAAAAACCAGTCCGGACCTAATCAAATCCCAGCAATGCTGTTGAAGCTCATTGCGCCGGCAATTGCTAAACTTAACTAATCCTTGGTGTCTGGATACAAATCCAAACTTTGGAAGACTGCGAGAGTAGTGCCTATCCATAAAAGTGGTGACACTACTTTGGTTTCTAACTATCGCCCAATATCATTGCTCCCAGTATTGTCAAAAATCTTAGAAAAATGTGTCCATACGCAACTATGTGAGTATTACCAGCAATCAAACTATCTGACCCCTGATCAATCGGGTTTTCGTCCAAATCCCTCCACTACAACTGCCCTTTTAAAAGTTTGCAATGACATCCAAACTGGCATGGAACAAGGAGATCTAACTGTTGCTATTTTCCTTAATTTTGCAAAGGCCTTTGACACAGTAGACCACAACATTCTACTGCACAAACTAAAAAAAAACTTGGGTATTGGTGACTTTCCGCTAACCTAGTTTTGATCATATGTATCAGATCACTCACAATATGTGTCCATTTCTGACAGCAACTCCCTCCCTCTCCCAGTCACGTGTGGTGTTCCCCAAGGTTCCACAATGATCTTTCGAACAGTACCTAAATTACGCAAATTACACAATTTCCACCTATCCATCAAAAATCAAATAGCACACAGTCCACTTTTTCAAACACTTGGGTATGTTGTTAGACCCCAATCTATCTTTTGGCCTCCACATAGAAAAACTTGCATCTAAACGTTATCCAAAACTGGATGCCCTGCACAGAAACAAATTCTGCCTAAGCCCTACAGTAAAGGAAAAGATTGTACAGCAAATGCTGATGCCAATCATTGATTATGGGGATGTAGTATATTCACCTGCACCACAAACCCACCTTAAAAGGACCACTATAGGAACCCAGACCACTTCAGCTCAATGAAGTGGTCTAGGTGCCAGGTCCCTCTAGGGTTAACCCTGCCTGCTGTTAATCCAGCATAGGGGTTAATCCAGCCTCTAGTGGCTGTCTCATTGACAGCCGCTAGAGGCACTTCCGTGGGTCTCACTGTGATTTTCACAGTGAGAAGATGCCAGCGTCCATAGGAAAGCATTGAGAATGCTTTCCTATGGACTGAATGTGCGCGCGGCTCTTGCCGCGCATGCCCATTCAGCCGATGACATCCGAAGGAGAAGAAGAGTCCCCAACGCCGGGCTCCCTCGGAAAGGTAAGTGATTTAACCCCTTCCTAAAGCCCGGCGGAAGGGGGGCTATGAGGGTGGGGGGGACCTATTAATACTATAGTGCCAGGAAAACAAGTTTGTTTTCCTGGCAGTATAGTGGTCCTTTAATGTGTGACATGTCATGATTCCTTTTTATTCCAGAAATTTGGTCCTTAAGGGGTTAATAAACTTAATAACTGTATAACTCGTTCTGCCGATTCGTGTTGCAATTTAATTACAGGACCTACCATTGTGACATGCTAAAAGAACTAAACTGGCTATCGCTGGAATCCAGACGCACCCTTCATCTTTCCAGCCTTGTGTTTAAGAGCTTTTCTGGGAAGCTCCCACCCTACCTGAGCAGAATGCTCTCCCCAGCTGTTCCCACCTCCTATAACCTCCGATCCAGTACCAGCACTTTATTTAGTCTATCTCAATTCAAAAAAGAAAGCAGCTCGATCCTCCTATTCCTACAGAGCACCGCAATTGTGGAACGACCTCCCGCACACTTTCAAATCTTCCCCAAGCCTAAAATCATTTAAGAGATCCCTCTCTACATACCTCAAAACATAATGCACTGGTCATGGTTGATTATACATATCCTGCCTGTTCTATGTTAAAATAATATATTGTGTATTAATATTGTTTTTGTATTTTATTGTACCAATGAAATGTTTTGTGGACCCAGGACATACTTGAAAACAAGAGAAATCTCAATGTATCTTAACCCCTTAAGTACACAACTTCTGTAATAAAAGGGAATCATGACGGAATATTTCCATCATGTGTCCTTAAGGGGTTAAATAAATAAATATTCGAAAAACCAATTCTTTCAATATCCTTACTGCCATCACACCATTCACGGTCAGAATTTCCTCAAAACTGAACAGACAGATATCTCCTAAACAATGTTCCTCCCATTTACTGCCTTCAAATAAAAAGTAAAAAACAAAACAAAAAAAAAACACCACGATACCAAGTAAAACATCAAATATTTTTCAATTTGTTTATGTTTATTTTTTTTTAGGATGCTTTCCTTTTAAAGTGTCATTTAAATAACCATTATATTGATATTTGTGAGGAGCATCCAAAGCCACAAGCATAAAAAAATATACTATTTAACAATCTCGTTCATCTATCTGATCAAATTACAGCACAAGGATAGTATCAAGGGTTGCCTGGACTGTTCCTGGGTATTTTTTGAGTAAATAATCTAATCTATTCTATGACCTTCAAATGCTTAAAGAATATTACTCCTCCTACAACTTGCAGTTTCCAACACAAAGTTGAGAAACCCATTTAGAAATGTTGTGTATTTCTCATATTCAAGTTCTGAAATAAGAAATATTAAATATTTGGATTACTGATACGTAGGTACATACTTTACCTGCTTTGGGACATCTGTAGATCTGGCAAACAGCATGCCAAGTAAAGAATAATAATGATTAGAATTAATACCCTTATTCACATCAATGGCAAAAGCTAGTTTTGGCAGTAAAGTAAGTGTTGCAGTAAGATTCCTAATCTTACACAAGAGCATCTAACCTCTCTTTTTATGATTGGATCAGTATGGTCTATGCACTCGATAATTGTCATTTGGTGTTGAAGTGCCAGGTTTGGATCCTGCTGAACAACAAACGTAAGTGCTTTGAGTCCTACAAAAACAAAAAAGAAACACAGCATCACAATAGTTCTACCACTGTGAAACATGCTAGGAGTATGGGAACAAACCTTACCTAAATACTTAAGGTTGATCTTTGGTGATAAAATGAACTTTCCGATACATTTTGCAGCCTTCTCAAATAAATCTGATTTGGGGTAGATTGTATAAATAGTTTGCACACACTCAAACAAGATGGCTGAAAAGAAAAGAAAGGAGTATTAAAATTCGATTATATTTAGAAATGTGGGTTTTCAATTCTGTTATAACTGCACTCAAAAGTATTTAGAAAAACATTTTTTTTTAATTTTATTTCTTTTTAAATGGCCTTTATAAACACCAAAACTACGTTAGCTTAGTGGATGGAGTAAGTCTCACTGCTCAATTCTCTCCTCCCTGCATGTAACCCACACAGCCTCCCTAAACAATTCTTGTAAAGAGAGATCGAATGTTTAAAACTTCCTTTTCTTATCTCCTGCTTTGTTGACAGCCTATAGAATACATGTGTGATTAAAGTTTAATTAACAGAGCAGGAGATAAAAACGTCTAAAGTAAACACACTGCACTGAATAAAAAATAAAAATATCACATTGGTTGTTTAAGGGTGTGGCTCTGGCTTCATAAAAAGAAACAAAAGTGATTTAACTCCTGAATGGCAGAGCATTGATTAGTGAGGCTGCAGGGGCATGATCTATACACCAAAACGGCTTCTTTAAGCTAAAATTGTTTTGGGGCATGATCTATACACCAAAACGGCTTCATTAAGCTAAAGTTGTTTTAGAGCTTAGAGTATCCCTTTAACTTTTACGTTTATAGAGTAAAGTAAAGCACACTGTATGAAATGAAAGTGGCATTCTGAGCACCACAACTACAAGATGAAGTGCTATTTATCCAGAGCTTTATTGATTTCTAATTGTACTAACAATAATGGAGATAAAAAAAAAAAAACATATATAATTACATACCGTAGGTGATATTGTGATTAATTTCTGCCCTTCTTAAAGACTCATCAAGCACATCATACATTAACTCACTGGTCCTACAAAAATAATGAATAACAAATGGATATACATTTTTTTAAAAACAGAATTTTTGTAAAACTGCTTCTGAAGTTCTGGTCAAACCATTTAGGATCAGTTTATCCCCCCCCCCACCCTAAAAAAAATAAAAAACGACTGCAGAGATTTTCAGATTAATTTAGAAGAGTAATAGAAGTAGTATTCTTAAGAGTGCTTTCTCTTAATTACTGCCATTCAAGAATATTACAGTCAAATCGTGAAGAGGTATTAGTAATTAGTTATCAAAAAAAATTTTTTTACATTTAAAATTTGTATTTATTTTTTAAATCGCTAGTCAAACTGCCATTTGGAGAATAAATAAATACTTATATTCTACTAAAATGAATTGATTAATAAAACAACACAACCTTACTAAAATGTTCTGACATTAAGACACATTTACATATTACAAATATTTTGATACGCAATTTCATAATTAAGATCAAAACACTAAAAACATCCATTTTGGTTTTCATTTGCCATTAAGAAATGAAAAGGGCTATCTGATTTAGGTTGCTCACTTGGACATTAAAGAACATTGCTAAAATACTTTCATTATCAACATTGCCATTTGCTAAAATACTTTCATTATCAACAGCATATTTTATTGCCAACCCAATTTATCTGTCAACTTGTATATTTATGCATAAAGATAACAAAAGACAAAATAAATATAACATACTTTGATTTGGTCATCTTTAATCCTGACGTGTAACGTATTCTAGCTCATGATGATTTCCATATATCATTATATGGCGCCACCTAGAGCCCACATTGTGATGTGCAGCCCTAAAACAGTTACCTGAGATCATCTTTTCCCAGCAGCCTCAGGATCCTCAAGAGCTGAATTTGGAGCCAAGGAGCTGGGACACTATGATAATTAAAATCTGCTGGAAGCTTTCCTCCAACAACCTGCTTCAAAATGGTAACAAATGAACCTGTCAGGTCCTTGTATCCCAATGGGTTGTCCTGTACAAAGCAAATATAGTAGTTAAGTTTAGCCTTTGAATAATTTCATTGAGGATTGTTTGACGCTGTTAAAACTGCATAAAGCAAATGTCAGTTTGCTTTTTATAAATCTTAGATCATCCAACTAATTTAGATCATCGATGCCGTGTAATGTGAGCTATAAAAAGAGTGGAACTTTGCCTTTACCTTGATCACCTGTAGATAAATGTGTAACGAGGCAGCCATGACACCCACATCTCTGTCACACAGAGCTTTCCTGAATTTCTCATGGATATGCTGCACTTGATTGGGTGCCATTAAGTAGAATTTATACAATGCCAAGACGGCTTTTCTTCTTACAATTTCCCTAGAAAGACATTTGATAAAGCATATATCATTATTAATAGAAAGTTAGACTTGAGTATGGTACACAGGACATAAAATCACAATCATACTTTTTTGCACAGTAATAATACATCACTGTGGTAAAGGGGTCAGGAGAGATACGCTCGGATTCTGAATAGTTTTAATTTTCAGGAGTAGATGCTTTAAATGGTCAGAAAGAGGAATCATAATTTGTGCATATACAAGGTAGAAACAGGAGTCATGATTTACAAATCCGTTTAAGCTTTTGGTGACTAGCAGGCCTGTTTGACAGCTCTGAGGATCTAATAGTGTAGATTATGAGCTTGTTCAACTACATGTTTTTGTTAGAATTGTTAGTTTGGTTTACCTATTGTACAGTGCAGCAGAATATGTTAGAACTATAAGAATATTTGTAATTATTTATGGTTGCATTAAAGCCCCGTTGCTGGACACATGTTGATCATATTTTAGAGATATTAAAATGTATTGTGTTATAGGCATGGCCAATTTGGCTGCTCAGTCACTATTTAGATATTTAGGGGAAAGTGTTTCTATAATTTCATAACAGGGTATGAAATGTTAGAAGGTTATGGTGAAGATAGAAGATGGGGTGACATGATTATTAAGCATGCGCACTTCGGGAGGTGGGGCCAGGCACGTGCCGAGCGGTAGCAGCAGGACCTGGGAGATTCAGAAACTGACATGAAAACACAGAATTTAAGGATAAACCCTGCTTAAGCTGTTGCTACAAGCGAGAGCTAGAACACAGTGGAGCATGCAAACTATATAAAATTGACTGTAGCAGACAAGTAGCAAGGATAATCGAGATTACTGAGATGCTTTAATCAATCAGCAACAGCAATCTAGTCCTTAATGCACACAAAAATTGTATGGTTCAGAAAAGTTTATCTGAATTTTTTCCTCCTAATCAAGGAAAAACTAAAACTCAGACGAGGATGAGGATAAACAGTCGGAAACTTCACAAGATCTGACAATACACTCAGAGTATGTGGCCCTGTCCAAAGAGTTTATAATGCAATGCCTTTAGATGCAATTAAAAACCGTTTAAGCAAGATCTTCCACCATGGAAATTAAACAAGAAATCAAACATGAAATAAAGGGAGAAAAGAACAACAGCTCAATTAGCCTGCCCTTATGAAGGGCAATCCAGATATGGACCCCTTGCTCATGGTGGCTAGAGGGATATTGGCTATACCTCACTGATGATACCTCACAAGGTTGAAATCGTCTGGCGTTGAAATCGTCTGGGGTTGCTGTCTCTCTCGTGCAGAGGGAACTTGCTGGCATTTTGGATCTGGACTGCCCATACGGGTGGGACCAGTCTGATATGTTCTCTCTGTAATGGCACCAGATGAGCTAAAACCAGTTTGAGATCTGAGCGGGACCCCCCGAAGGGCAGGTTAATTGAGCTGTTGTCCGTTATCACCTCTCTTGCCACTTGTTTTTCTCTCATGAAATAAAGAGAGTAACAAACTCAGAGATAAATGTAATATTGAAGATAAATGTAGTCATTTACATCAACAGTATGGTTCCTTGAAAGCAGGCTTCACTGATATGTCTCAGAAAATGGTTACATTTGAATTCAGGTTGAATGATTTGGAGGAAAGTTCTAGAGCAAACATATGTATTCCTAATATTCCGAAAAAGGTCACTCAGGATGTCTTGCAGGATTTTCTACAGGATTTTTTCATACATTATATTCTGGATTTAATGGATTATGATTGTATGTTAGAACGTTAACATTGGATTTACAAACCCTCGTCAGTTCCAGATTCTTTTCCAAGAGAATTCATGGTAAAATATCATTGTATTAGGCAAAAGATAGAATCTTAAAGGGACACTGTAGGCACCAAGACCACTTCATCCCATTAAAGTGGTCTGGGTGCCAACTCCCATCACCCTTAACCCTGCAAGAGTAATTATTGCAGTTTTAATAATAAAATTAAAAAAAAATAAAAAATTCTGAGGCATTGTTAGAAATCATTCCATATTGGATAACCAATTTTATTTAGAAAGATTAAAAAAAAAAAAAAAAACACAGAACTAAACAAAAATTGCTAACAAATAATTAGCAAGGCTGGTCTTGGCTTTCCTTTGATTAAAAGATATTTCACCATGACAATTTACCATCTGCATACAATGCAAATGAAAGAAACTAAAAAATTAAGGTTGATACAAGAAATTAAACAAGTTACGTATTAAAAATGGATTTTGCTGTGGTCTCTTAATTAGGAAGACATCTCAGATAGTTGAAAAAAAAATGTGGATTTATAGATAAGATTCCATCTCATGTAAGATTAAACCAACTTGATAAAAGTATGAGAAACCTAGAATTAAAGAATTGAAGTCAAGAGGAATCAGTTCCATCGAAATTTATTGTCTAAAGATGGAATTAAAGTTTTTCCGCAGATAGCACAAGAATTTCAGCTATCAAATAGGCAACTATTTAATTACATTCAGGTTAAAAACATTTTGCTGAAGCATTAAACCTTCAGAGATAGTTATTAAATGCATTGCTTTTTTAATTTTAAGGAGACAGGTAACGTTATCTCAAAGAGGATAGAAATTCTCAGATTATTGGAGAAGATGCACAAGCTATCCATCTATCAGGCTTGGCGAAAAGAACTCTGGATAGATATTAATTTGGAAGTTTGGGTCTCAGCTTTTCTTAAAGGTAATCAGGCGAAACAATGCTTAAATATAGTCGAAATGCAGTATTAGAGAAAAAGTACAGGTGATACTCGAGAAATTTGAATATCGTGCAAAAGTTCATTTATTTCAGTAATGCAACGTAAAAGGGGAAACTAATATATGAGATAAATGCATAACATGCAAAGCAAGATAGTTCAAGCCGTGATTTGTCATAAGTGCGATGATTATGGTTTACAGCTCATAAAAACCCCAAATCCACAATCTCAGTAAATTAGAATATTACATGCAATCAATAAAACAAGGAGTGTACATATAACAATATTAGACCTCTGAAAAGTATAAGCATGCATATGGACTCAGTACTTGGTTTGGGCCCCTTTTGCAGCAATTACTGCCTCAATGAGGCATGGCATGGAAGCTATCAGCCTGTGGCACTACTGAGGTGTTATGGAAGACCAGGATGCTTCAATAGCGGCCATCAGCTCTTCTGCATTGTTCGGTCTCATGTCTCATCTTTCTCTTGGCAATGCCCCATAGATTCTCTATGGGGTTCAGGTCAGGCGAGTTTGCTGGCCAATCAAGCACAGTAATCCCACGGTCACTGAATCAGGCTTTGGTGCTTTTGGCAGTGTGGGCAGGTGCCAAGGGAAAATGAAGTCAGCATCCCCATAAAGCTTGTCTGAAGAAGGAAGCATGAAGTGCTCCAAAATCTCCTGGTAGACGGCTGCATTGACCCTGGAATTAATGAAGCACAGTGGACCAACACCAGCAGATGACATGGCTCCCCAAATCAACACAGACTGTGAAAACTTCACACTGGACTTCAAGCATCTTGCAGTGTGTGCCTCTCCATTCTTCCTCCAGACTCTGGGACCTTGGTTTCCAAATGAGATGCAAACGTTGCTCTCATCAGAAAAGAGGACTTTGGACCACTGAGCAACAGACCAGGTCTTGTTTTCTTTAGCCAAGGTAAGACACTTCTGACATTGTTCAGGAGCAGCTTGACAAGAGGAATACGACATCTGAAGCCCATGTCCAGGATCCATCTGTGTGTGGGCACTTGATGCACTGACTCCAGCCTCAGTCCACTCCTTGTGAACGTCCCCAACACTTTTGAATGGCCTTTTCCTTACAATTCTCTCCAGGCTGTGGTCATCCCTGCTGCTTGTGCACCTTTTTCTTCCACACTTTTCCCTTCCACATAACTTTCTATTAACGTGCTTTGATACAGCACTTTGGGAACATCCAACTTCCTTCGCGATTACCTTTGGAGGCTTTCCCTCCTTATGGAGAGTGTCAATTATGGTTTTCTGCACAACTGTCAGGTCAGCAGTCTTCCCCATGATTGTGATTCCTACTGAACCAGACTGAGAGACCATTTAAAGGCTCAGAAACCCTTTGCAGGTGTTATGGCTTACTTAGCTGATTAGAGTGGGACACTGTGAGCCTAGAATATTGCACCTTTTCACAATATTCTAATTTACTGAGATTGTGGATTTGGGGTTTTCATGAGCTGTAAGCCATATACATCGCATTTATGACAAATCACGGCTTGAACCATCTTGCTTGCATGTAATGCGTCTATCTCATATTAGTTTCCCCTTTTATGTTGTATTACTGAAATAAATTAACTTTTGCACGATATTCTAATTTTTCGAGTATCACCTGTAAATGGTATTTGGCCCCTAGTGACTTGCTAAGTTCTCAGCAGAACACTCTCCTCTCCTATGTTGGAGATGCAATAAATACACTGGTACTTATCTGCATACCTGGTGAAGTAGTGGCTTGATTAGAAATGTTTGGCTTAAAGTTCTTTGGTTTTTAAAACAAATTTAACCTGCATTCAGAAACTGATAACTTCAGAGTCTATTCTATTACATTTGAATTGGCCTCAAATTAGCAATAAGGAATTATATATACATATTCGCCATTTGACTGCTTGCAAAGCCCTTATAGTCTGGCATTGGAATACAATAGAATGCATATTGTGACATCATTAAAAAACAAAAAGAAAACGCTAACATTTCAACGTAATATGGAAAAATGTTGAGCTGCACCCAGGGATCTCCCTTTAAAGAAAATAGTGAAATTTGGGGTTATTGGTTAACCAAGATAGAACTCTTAGTTATAAACGCTCCTTGAAAATATCTAGACTCATCCGGACATAATTTTTTCTTACGAATAGTAATAGATCACCCTCCTTTACTCATGGCAATTTTACCTTTGTCCTCGGTAGGAATGTATTGTATAATATCTATGTCTTTGAAGATTCTGTAATGGCAACCCCAAGAATTAGCTGGGATTATCTATATTGTTCATGCTTAAAATGCACTTGGTATGCCAAGCTTTTGTCTGTTTTATGTTCTGTGATAAAATTTCAATAAAAAGATTGTGTAAAAAAAAAAATAAGTATATGTGTAGTCAATGCTTTTGCATGCTATATAGACAAGCACAGTAACAGTGTTGCTTCAGGGTAGAAAGGAAGCATTCAAGAACTGGGAGAATAAACACTTTGATTGTGGGGTAGAACCAACAGATTAAAGTGATTTGGTGTAGCACACCACAGTCTTTAACAGTGTAAAAACTTAGGCTGTTTGACCAAAACCATGCACTCACTTTGGGATTTATTGGGCATTTCCTATCTAACAGCTTAATATTCCGTGTAAAGCAAATATGCCACCGTGTTGCAGGTGCCTATAAAGACTCCTCTAATTTGTATTGACTACAAATTATTCGAATTCAGGTGTATAGAACATATTGAATACTTGAGAAATGTTTTGGAAAAAAGGATTTTGAAAGGTTTTAACCCCTTCACAAGCAATTACATTTCAGACCTTTTTGAATAATAAGGTTTTATTAACTCTTATAGTAGTCAGCCACTAAATGAGATGCTGTCATCACTGTGGAAGCAAAATATTTTTTTTTGTTCTGGGAGTATCATAAGTTTAAAGTTAATTTGGAATCCATAGCAGATGTATGATTTTGTGACGATAAAGTAACATGTTTCCAATATTTTCCCACGCTTGGGAATATTATTGGAAATGAACTGATTGAAACCTTCACAGTCTCTACATGATAGGTTTGCAGGAAAACTGAGTTTTGTTTTCTTTACATTGTTTTAACTCCTAAAGACCTTTGGAGATATTACATATGGTAATGTACTTTATAAACAGGAAAGAACCAGGAGGGGCGACTGCTTTATAATTTTTAATATGCACAAATATGCTTTGAAAGTCTAGGATGGTTTACCATTTAAAAAAAACAAAACAAAAAAAAAAGATATTTAGATATTCGGCATGTAAAACACTAAAGAAGCAAGGTTTTTAAAAGGACATCATGACTTGATATTTGTGTTTCATTATGATGTCATATGGTAACCCAAACTAGAGAGGATATTACAAAACAAAATAAAACTTCTCTAATAATTCCTTTGGAAGGTTCAGTTAATTTGCGTAGCTTGTCCGCCTACAATTTTTTGACATGGCTTTCTAAATTCTCTCTCAGCAACTTTTACGTAACTTAGCAAAATGTAATGCAATTAAAACCCCAAAGCACAATCCCAGCAGTTACAGGGAGTGCAGAATTATTAGGCAAGTTGTATTTTTGAGGATTAGTTTTATTATTGAACAACAACCATGTTCTCAATGAACCCAAAAAACTCATTAATATCAAAGCTGAATATTTTTGGAAGTAGTTTTTAGTTTGTTTTTAGTTATAGCTATGTTAGGGGGATATCTGTGTGTGCAGGTGACTATTACTGTGCATAATTATTAGGCAACTTAACAAAAAACAAATATATACCCATTTCAATTATTTATTATTACCAGTGAAACCAATATAACATCTCAACATTCACAAATATACATTTCTGACATTCAAAAACAAAACAAAAACAAATCAGTGACCAATATAGCCACCTTTCTTTGCAAGGACACTCAAAAGCCTGCCATCCATGGATTCTGTCAGTGTTTTGATCTGTTCACCATCAACATTGCGTGCAGCAGCAACCACAGCCTCCCAGACACTGTTCAGAGAGGTGTACTGTTTTCCCTCCTTGTAAATCTCACATTTGATGATGGACCACAGGTTCTCAATGGGGTTCAGATCAGGTGAACAAGGAGGCCATGTCATTAGATTTTCTTCTTTTATACCCTTTCTTGCCAGCCACGCTGTGGAGTACTTGGACGCGTGTGATGGAGCATTGTCCTGCATGAAAATCATGTTTTTCTTGAAGGATGCAGACTTCTTCCTGTACCACTGCTTGAAGAAGGTGTCTTCCAGGAACTGGCAGTAGGACTGGGAGTTGAGCTTGACTCCATCCTCAACCCGAAAAGGCCCCACAAGCTCATCTTTGATGATACCAGCCCAAACCAGTACTCCACCTCCACCTTGCTGGCGTCTGAGTCGGACTGGAGCTCTCTGCCCTTTACCAATCCAGCCACGGGCCCATCCATCTGGCCCATCAAGACTCACTCTCATTTCATCAGTCCATAAAACCTTAGAAAAATCAGTCTTGAGATATTTCTTGGCCCAGTCTTGACGTTTCAGCTTGTGTGTCTTGTTCAGTGGTGGTCGTCTTTCAGCCTTTCTTACCTTGGCCATGTCTCTGAGTATTGCACACCTTGTGCTTTTGGGCACTCCAGTGATGTTGCAGCTCTGAAATATGGCCAAACTGGTGGCAAGTGGCATCGTGGCAGCTGCACGCTTGACTTTTCTCAGTTCATGGGCAGTTATTTTGCGCCTTGGTTTTTCCACACGCTTCTTGCGACCCTGTTGACTATTTTGAATGAAACGCTTGATTGTTCGATGATCACGCTTCAGAAGCTTTGCAATTTTAAGAGTGCTGCATCCCTCTGCAAGATATCTCACTATTTTTGACTTTTCTGAGCCTGTCAAGTCCTTCTTTTGACCCATTTTGCCAAAGGAAAGGAAGTTGCCTAATAATTATGCACACCTGATATAGGGTGTTGATGTCATTAGACCACACCCCTTCTCATTACAGAGATGCACATCACCTAATATGCTTAATTGGTAGTAGGCTTTCGAGCCTATACAGCTTGGAGTAAGACAACATGCATAAAGAGGATGATGTGGTCAAAATACTCATTTGCCTAATAATTCTGCACTCCCTGTATTTTCCATAATTACTCACTTAAAAGTGTTGGCTTCTAAGCCTTATACCATATGCTTAAAAGTAATGCCTGACTAACCATTCTTTATTTGCAACACTCACTAACTGTTTATCTTCACTTTCTGAAGTGATGTAATGAGCAGGAAAATAACCTATGTTAAGCCCTTACAAGCAAGCAGAGCTAGAAAAATGCACAACAGCACAGAAAACATGTTTTGAATGCACACAGCAAAGGGATTCAACTTAAAGTGCACTTTTTGCTTACTTTGAATGTTGTAGTTTGTCTTCGATCAGTGGAAGAGCAGCTGGAATCATTTCCCGTGGAAAGATCTGACTAACTACAGTGAGAGCCATGCACACTTCAACCAGATTGGTACTCTGGAGATCCTGCCAAAACAAGCATTACGGAGTTGTCTTTATTCAAAACTTATTTCCATTCCCTCTACCTAAGAGGTACAACATATTCTAATATAGGTGCTGCACGGCGCCAATAAAGGTAATTTTTACATGAAACAAAATGGCCGAAAGGTAAAGTGACTAGTGAATTAATTAAGAATTACATTCCATCTCACCACTTTTGGCAAAAGGATTAGCAAGGCAGTACACAGTGTGAAAAGTGGAACCTGGTAGTCTATGACTTGGTTTCTTTTTTCAAAATAAATAAATAATCTAGTAAAGACTCTGAAAACGGTAATTTGTGAGTTACTTAAAGGACCACTATAGGCACCCAGACCACTTCAGCTTAATGAAGTGATCTGGGTGCCGGGTCCAGCTAGGATTAACCCTTTCTGGTGTAAACATAGCAGTTTTAGGGGGCCCGGACCCTCGGGGCGAAACCCATATCTCCTCTCATAGCTAAATACTCGCACCCTTGCTCTTTCCCCTTCTCCCTTCTTCTCTATCACGATTCTCGTGACTACAACCCATTCACTTTCATTACCATATACACATGCACACAACCAACTTAATGAAGCCACGCCACAGCCACGTGTCCAAAGAAAAAATGAACAAGAAACACTGCCATTATAACTACAACCCACGGATATACAGTTAGATAAGGCAGAACCATGAACAGATATATGGAACAAGGACGGATAAGGTAGCTCGGACAGGGAAACTATGAATCCCTACCACAGTCACTCTACCAAAACATAAGATTAGCGAGTCCACAGGTAACTGACACGACGCATAGCTACCACAAACATATCGCATACGATGTCACCCTTCATAGGTTCCCATATCCATCACAAACACGCCAGGGAGAGCTCGTGGCTGACCGATTACGCAATATAAATACACCCTGAGGGGTAATGATAGGAACTATGTACAAGTTAACCAATATAAACCGAGCTTTGGTTGTCTAGAATGCCGTGAGGTAAGACGGCGACGAAGTTGTTCCCAGGACCGAATGTTATGATTGTTACACATTTGAACATAATGTAGCAGATACATACAGGTCGTACGTGACCTCAATCTGCTGAAAACTGAATCGAATAAGCTGTTCTTCCATTACTCTGTCTAATAAATACAGATTTAAAAAAAAAAAACATAGTTTCAGAGAAACTGCTATGTTTACTTTAGGGTTAATCCAGCCTCTAGTGGTTGTCTCATTGACAGCCGCTAGAGGCGCTTCCGCGCTTCTCACTGTGATTTTCACAGTGAGAAGACGCCAGCATCCATAGGAAAGCATTCAGAATGCTTTCCCATGAGACTGGCTGAATGCGCGCGCGCATTCTGCCGATGACGGGAAAGAAGGAGGAGGAGAGAGCCCGGCGCTGGAAAAAAGGTAAGGGATTAACCCCTTCCACACCCTAGAGCCCGGCAGGAAGGGGGCCCAGTGCGTGAGTGGGACCCAAGGACCTTTAGAGCCAGGAAAACGAGTATGTTTTCCTGGCACTATAGTGGTCCTTTGACATAAAGAGGCATTGTGGCAGATTTGCACAAAAATAGCTGCAGGTGAATTTGAACAAGTTTTTACTTAACAGTTTGTGGCATTTCTAGAAATTAAAAAAAATAAAAAATTATATACATACACACACACACACAATAATAATAATAATGAAAACTCATACCAGCAATGTTCTATTGATAACTGTCAGTATATTAACAGAGTTCGGAAGCATGAATCAGTAAAATTAACATAAGTGGCTCTCTAAATTTAGGTTTGTTTACAAGGTATATTTAATCACTTGATCATGCTGTGTTAATAGGAATGACACAAGTGGACAATATTTTAGGTGTTGCAATGAACAGGCAGTTGTGATTTCGAATGAGTCATCTATATGCTTAGTTAAAAGCACTGCAGCAGGCAACTAGATGCCAACTTTGTTTTAATCTCTCTAATGCAAAACCCATTTACTTAGGCAGGCAAATGTGGATTAAAAAAAAAAGAGCTGATGTGATGTTAGGAGATAGGATGAATTCGAAATTAAAACAAATGGAGACATTTTTATTTTACCTTTAGTACTGTATTCACCAGCAAGAGCAGCAATTCATGATTTTCATGTAAGAATAAGGACACCGCCAAGTATCCTGGAAAAAAAAAAAGTCACACTGAGGGGGAGAAACATCCTTAAATGAGAGTTTTTAACTTTATTCCCTAAAGTGAAAATTGCCAGGAATTCTAATTAAATTATACCAGGGCTTGAAAAATTGGCCTTAAATCAAGGAAAAAGTTAGGAGCCAGTTTTTTGTTTTGTTTTTAAACTTACAAAGCTTTATTTTAAATGACAAAAAAAAAAAAATATTCTTAAAGGGACACTATAGCCACCAGAACCACTATAGCTTAATCTATAGCTTGTCCTGTTCAGAGAAAAGGCAGTGTTTACATTGGTGCCTATTAACACTTCTAGTGGCTGTCACTCAGATGGCCACTAATATGCTCTATCTCAGTGCTGTACTGTGTGCAGCACCTACATTCAGCATCTCTCCACACTTTGCAGAGAGGTGCCCAACGTTCCCTATAGACATGCACTGATTCAATGCATCTCTATGAGGAGATGGTGATTGGCAGAGCATTTTGCTGTGCATGCGTAATAGACTCCTTATGGGAAAGCATTTGTTTTGGCAGAGATCTATCTCAGCCATTGAGGCAGGGCCAGCAGCGGCTAAACTGGCACAGCATGGGGAAAAAGTGAGTAAAAACACCATTCCCATGAGATCAGAGAAGAGACAGTCACCTAAATATACACACTCCCTGATAGACACACACACAAATTATTGTTTAAATTCAATTTAAGTCCACCCAGCCTCCGCTTTCCCTGGGGTTCATTGGGGATACTGAGTTGGGCCTTCCGTCATCTTCAAGATCTTCTTGTTCTGCTCCCTTGTGCGCTGTCTAGTAATGCCATGACCAAAGTGATGTCGTATTCCAGCTCCTGGCACCAGTGCAGAACGTATGAGGTAACAGAGCGAGAAAATTACAGCTCCCTTGCCAGCCACCTACACTCTCCCTCAGCCTTCCACCTTGGACGGAATGGGATGACAAATATCCAGGCGCTAGGACAAAATTCCAATAATTATGGAGACCTGGTGCCTGGGATTTGTTGAGTCCTGAATTACACACTTCAGACAGTTATTTGGTGAAACTTTTGAGATACTTTGAACTTCCAACAATTCAAATTCTGGTAAATAACAAAAAAGACTGTTATACTGCTGAAAGTACTTGCCATTGGCCTCCACATTAAAGGATCACAATAGTGTCAGGAAAACAAACACGTTTTCCTTAAAAAAAAAAAAATAATATATATATATATATATATATATATATATATATATATATATATATATATACACACATATACATATATACATACATACACACACCTAAAGTCCCCTCTCCCCTGTTAAAACCCCTTCAGCCACTTTCCTTTATCCAGCACCAGTGACCTCTCCTCCCTAGACAATACCAGGGAGGAATATTCTTGCATGTTGCTGGTACTCGGGGGTTTTAGGTTACATTGAATACAGCTTAATTTCAAATCAAATAAACACCAACAGGTAATAAACTAATAACAAAGCACTTCTGCAATGAAAGGCAATTTGCTGGTGCTAGGAAGGTAAAATACTCCACAAAAAAGCTCCACAACATTTACACATGGGAACTTCTCTAAAAGTTTTTTTTACATGCCAAAAATTCACTCCAGGCACCAACACAACTTTAATGCATTTAAAATATAAATGTTTTGCAGAATGCACTACCATAAGACTTTCTCCTTAGTCACACTCCCTCATGCCAAAAATACTTCCTTATCACTGTATGTACATAGATCAGCCCCTAACAGCACTGAGTGAATTGCTTTTAAATCACACTATGGCTGGAGACAAGCAGAGAAACTATAAACAGGTAGTGATATCCTTAATATAGGTCTCCCTGGTTGTTATTGCCGTTTAGTGCAGATTGATTTGTAGTTCAGATCATTCAGAACTGTCAGTGGTTGAACTGTGGAGTGAGGCGTGTAGCTAAAAAGGCTGACTTATGGTGCAGGATACTGCAAAATATTTGTTTTCTTTAGGCTTTTAACGGTTTGGCACACATGCACTGTAGCTTCCTTAGAAGTCACGGTATCAGAGCATTGCTGATTATTCATAAACTCATGTACGCCCAGCGGTGGCATAGCAATGTGAACACACGACCAGGCAAAGTAAAGTGATTGCTTAAAATGTCAGTGCTCAGGGAGGACAAATTGGACTGTAGCACTAATGGCTATTTAAAGTCTTACTACTAGATGAATATATCTTTATTTTCTCATATAAAGACAGATACTTACCTACTCTTTTCTCAAGTAAGTTTCCTTGTTGGGCTAATTTGATAGCATGGATGTAGCCAAAGGAAGCCTCATACCCCAGCATTTCGCAGTAGATGAGCCTCACCATACATTCTTTCATCTGCCTCTGGGTCATAAAGATAGATATATGAGTATACAAAGGAAACAATACAAAGAAGACTAAATGTGAGAAACACTGGAAACTAGGGGGTACTGTAGGGGAGAGAGTGAGGGCATTACCCGCAGTTTAACAGGAACAGCAATGTTTTCATTACAGGATTAACACATCTCCAGTGGCTGTGGTGAAGACAGCCACCAGTCGCTTTGCAGCTATATCTGCTCAAATTACTCACTCACATTTGATTGGCACAGCTATTTTGCCATGCAGATGCACTAGCCTCCCAATTCTTCCCTATAAGGAAGCATTGTATTTGCAGAAATTATCGAGAACGAGGATCTCATCCACAGAGATGGAGTGACATCATGGAGATCAGTGCGTCCCACAGGATGAAAACTAAGTAAATCTTACCATTTAAACACCTGCGGGAGAGGGTAAATGGACACCTACATAGGTAGAGGATCACTATAGTGTTGTGAATACATGTTTGTATTCCCAAAATGTCAGTATTCCTTTAAATTCTGGGAATAATAGGATGTAAAATAGCTAAGTGATAAGTGAAGACAGTCACCAGTAATATGCTGTGTACCTAACCTCAAAACAGAGATGTTACACATTAACCAGAATTAAAAACAAAGTAATACCCTAGGAAGAAACAGTGCTGCAAATCGTAATAGTGTGCAAACTCCCGCCTCAGGGGAATATCATCTAAGGTAGTGAAAAAGGTCTTCCCCAAAGTGAAAATATAAATGTGAGAGGATCATAGTATTTACAATATATACACTACTTACACTGTCCATCACATAATAAATCACAAAGCACAGGAGTATGAGGCAAATTCTCAACTACTCAAGTAGAAATACATCTGCTTATGAGGGACTCAAACTAAGCAATAAAAGTAAATTATATGTAAAAGTGACAAAAAAAAAAATCTACCAAATTAAGAATGGCCAAATAAGGTCTACAAAAATATAAATTCAATGGCAGCATAGGCGGGAGCTGCCTCCACATTAAGGGGGAGAGTAATAGAAAGCCAACTACTCCATATATGAACCGTAGTTTCTTAGACATGATTTTATATTTTTTACATTAAAACATATTCAAAGAAGATGTACACATACAAAATTTGTTTGCTGCAAATCCCCAGTGTCAGCAGCTTGCTGCACTGAACTGAGTTAGCGGACATCTGTCAAGCAGTTAACAAATAGAAATAGAAGTGGCGCTTTAAGATGAAGATAGGTGATTGGTGCTGCTATACCCAAGTATATCACCACTATGTATACTTAGAAAAGATACAATAAAGCACAGAAAAGGTAACAGCGCACACACACACCAGTGAGGTGGTTTACCTGACAAATAAATAGTAGGTATCTCCTCCTTATATACAATCAGTGTATTGAATATTAGATTACCTATACAAAGGGTATAAACATAAAACAAAACATAGTGTAATCTGTATATTCCACACAATTAAAATGGAAGTTCTGAGTTAGAAACACTCACACTTTAATGAGCCATTTAAAGTAGGCTCGGAACTTATATGGCTTTTATGTCACTTCAATGGGACATACGCATTTTCTTTACTCATCAGGCAGGTTCTCCTTTAGTCTTAGTGGTCTTCTATAATGGAGCAGGAATCAGAAGCCACCCATTGAAGTGACATAAAGGATACTATTTATTTGTCAGGTAAACCACCTCACTGGTGTGTGTGTGTGTGCGCTGTTACCTTTTCTGTGCTTTAATCTGTCAAGCAGTGGTAGCCTTCACATGGTTTTCAATGGGAGTGCTGACCATAACCCATTTATTCCTTGTTCAGGATGAGTTCATGGGATGTGTTACGGTTTTATGAATGGAGCTACAGACACAACTTGGCATGTGCACAGCAGCTACCCTGGTTTCCTTACAGCAATCTGAACCGGTGAGGTCAGGACATGTATAACTTGCAATGTACTATGATGGGTATGGGATGCATTGCTTTAAACAATAATATGATTTTTTGGATCATGTACTTTATTGCATTTGAAATTGCTCTAATGTTTTGCATTGGTTCTTTCCTTTTTTTAGTTTTAGGTCTCCGGGGTTCATGCTCACTCTGCTTTTTTGACCCCATATGAGATTATTCACTACCTAATTTAATGTTTATTATGATGATGACAGAAAAATACATATCTGTGCTTAAATATCAGTACTTAATTATTTTCTAGGGAGCTTAAACAAATTTACATTAGGGTTGCATTATAGCATTTAAATGTACAATCACAAAAAAAAAAAAAAAAAGTAACAAAACAGCATAAAATTAGACATTTACTTACCAGAGAGGTATTTGGAGAAGAAACTGTGATTTTCAAATTGGCAAGCTCCTGCTGAATTAATTTTTCTTCCTCCTGAAAAAGAAACACTCTTCGTTAATAAATCAGTATTTAAACATGAAGAAGGTTCTTTGCTCTTGTAATTGAATTATAAAGATCTAGAGATCTACCCACTTTGATATCAGACACTTATTTCCTGGCTTGACAATTTTCTGAATTTAGGATTTAAAAAAAAAAAAAAAGGAGTCAGGCAAATTTTTTACGCTATCATGCCACACCTGTCATTATCATGCAAATATCAAACACAGTCACACATAGACATTATTAGGTTGTTATACATAGAAGAGACACATGTATGTAAATAGCCTGTCACTCACTTTTGCATACAGATACATTTTCCAGCTCAACTACTTGACCATTCTAACCTCCTAGTGGTCAACTGTATTGGTGATAGGTTGGCAGCTACTTCTCTGCTGTTAGTGGTTGAGTGTGTAGGATGATTCTGCATGATGTAACAGGGACAACTTTCGTGCTCCTTTTAAACATCTAAGAACGGTATTCAAGCAGTTCACACAGAGAATGAGAGGTTATAACATCACTTCCTGCTGATATCTGTGCTATTCCATCATGGAGAGATTACCACTCTCCCACTAAAACCATGGATTCCATTGTAGAGCTCACATATCCTCTCCCTTCTCAGCTTTAACTACAATAACCCAAAGGGGATGAGAGAGGCCATAATTAAACTAACAACTGTGCAGGTGAGAGGAGATCGTTTAATAAGGAGACAAATTGGGGGCATTGGATCTATTTTTGTGTTGCCACAGAAAGCTGAATTTGTAAAGTCCTGACCTGGCTATTTCATATGACTAGATTTATATTGATTACAAAACAGGTAAAGGAGAATTCGTAAACTACAGTGGGAAGCAAAAAGCAGAGTGAAGTACTCTTGCAAGGTAAGAGTCATTTTGTTACTTTGGAAACATAAAATGTAGTATGTATAGATGTATTATGCTTTAACTAAATACACCTTTGAATAGTACATGAAATAAAATGGAACAAATGGAACTACAAAGTCAGATATATTAAGAACATGGGCACAGCCATCTTCCTCAGTCTGCTCCTTTTCAGCTCTGAGCCAATGTCACTGCTGTATGACAATTCCCTGGTGACAGCTGTATTCTTTCTGTATAAAATACATTTTCAGAGGAGGGTAGCAGAGAGGAGGTTACAGTGCTGCTTTAAGGGGACATTAAAGTCACCAGACCAACTACAGCTTAATGTAGTTGTTCTGGTGAGTATAGTCAGTCCCTTCAGGTGTTTTGCAGCAAACCTTTTCAGAGAAAGGCAGGGTTTACATTACAGCCTAGGGACACCTCCAGTGGCCTCTACTGAGATGGCTATTAGAAGTGCTTTTGCTGACATTCAGTGTCTCCACCCTCTGCATGGAGGCACTGAACATTCCGCAAAAAGATGAACTGATTGCGTGAATCTCTAGTAGGAGATGAGGATTGGCCAGGGTGGCATTTGGCTCTGCCCACGGCACGTCTCCTTGGCAGAGATCATCAGAATTGATCATCTCAGCATATCCAATGGGAAAACATTGTGATTGGCTGAGATTATCACTTCTGATGTCAGCCAAGGAGGCAGATCAAGCACCAGCAGACTAAAATAAAAGTAAGATTTTACTGTATATAGGGAGGAAGAGGGTATTGTGTTTTTAACACTATAAGGTCAGGAATACAGGTTTGTGTTCCTAACCCAAAAGTGTTCCTTTTTAACGTGTTTTGAAACTACAACAAATGTGTTTATAAAACATTCTGTGCAAATAAGATACATTGTTCTTGAATTACATTTTAGTTGCATAAATTGTTATTAGGAAGTCACCTTAAATGTCTCAGAACAGCCACACCTACACTCACACCTCTAAAATTAAAGTGCCCATCTTTGTCCATTTGAAACGTTGGGAGGTACGCTACAATTCCGTGTTTAAAATGGATAAACCTCAATGGTGGCAGCACAGAATAAACAGCTCAATTCATTAGGAGAGTGACAGGAAGAAATGCGCAGCCACATACACACAAAGTGACATTAAAGGAAAAAAAAAAAAGTACCACATTCAGCCATACAGAATGACAGCAAGTAATAGGCACAGAGTGACGGTACTTAATGAGCTAATGTACTATTATAATAGTTACCCCAACAGTGCTAATATTGATATATTTTAGGGTCTGGCTGTGCATTATAGTATTATTATTTCTCTACCTCACATACCTCTCTCTTGCTCTCTCCTAAAGGGCAGCAATCTACTCTCTCCTCCAGCTCTGCTTCACTCCCACCTTATTTGATTGCAAATTCCTGTCCTAATGCATTTTACACCCCACCTCCTATAGACTGTAAGCTCGTTTGAGCAGGGTCCTCTTCAACCTATCATTCCTGTAAGTTTTCTTGTAATTATCCTATTTATAGTTACATCCCTCCTCTCATAATATTGTAAAGCGCTACGGAATCTGTTGGCGCTATACAAAAAGTCAATGATAATAATTATTATTATAAGTTGTAACATTGTATTTGCAAACATTTAAAATTACAATGTATCACCATTGGCTGGATTTTGTAACCCTAGCTCATGTCACAGGTAATAATACAATATTATTATTATATACACATTATATATATTATATATTATTTATTATATAGAGCCCCCCACCTGTCTGGAGCCCAGGGCAGTGATGCTGCGGATTAGGGCCCCCAGCCTGGAGCCGGCCCCGGGCGGCGGGTCCTGGAGGAGCAGCCCAGGCAGAGCGCTCAGGGTCCGCTCCACGATCTCAGTCATGCTCCAGGTCCCCTCCTGTCAACATGGAGAAAAAAAACATCAACAACAACCGGCATCACCAGCAACTTCCGGCTTCATTCAATGGCCCAAAACTTTATCCAGCGACAATGTGTGCGGCGTGAAGTTAGCGCTGTCCGACACCAGGGGGCGCGCGTTCCCCTCCTAAAGGTCACACAGCAATCATGCTCGTTGCACTGAGATGCTATAGCTAGTACTTGGTGTTACAGACAAACATTCTTTAAACAGAGTGAGCTGTACCTGAAAGAACTATTCACTCCAAATTTACCTCCTGAATAACTCCTCTTCTAGTGAAAGTTACATGGATATGTATTATATTTATTTGGGATGCCTGGGGCAAAACATCAACATTTTGCTCCCTCAGCCCATGTACCAGTTCCCATCCTCCCTGTCCCTCTGGCTGTACGGCTAATTATATGTAAAGACTATAGAATTTGTTAATAAAGAGCATTACAATGTTTATGAATACAGACTTTTTAATGCAATAGAAAACATCAGCTGGTGATTAATGTAAGCATGTTTTATATGTATGTATTTGTGTGTAGTGTTGGCATCTGAATGCAGTTGTGTGTTTGTATGCAGTGGTGTACTTGTGTTTAGTGTTTGTGTTTGAATGTGTTTGTATGTGCAGTTGGTGTTTGATTGCTGGGTGCAAATAGACACTGCCCCGCGCACATACACACACACTGAAACACACACAGTTACACACTGACTCAGACACACACACACTCACTGACAGACACACTCTCACTGGCTATGAATGACACATCCTGCATGAAAACAAATGGTTTGAAACACACTCACTGATAGACACACACATACATACACTGATATTCTCCTTGAGGGTCCAGTGGGGGTCTTCTCCCTGGGGTCCAGTGGCTCCTGCAATCTTCCAGTTTTTTTCAGTTGCTCCCTCGCACGCTGTTTAGTGATGCCAGGGCTGGAGTGATGTCACATACCAGCTGTCGGCCTCACCGCAGGGAATGAGAGAGCAGAGAGGAACTGCAAGAACATCAGTGCTCCCTCGCTACTTCTACCTGCCACCTCTCTCCCCCCGTATATTTTGGCAGAGTAGGCACCTGACATTCAGGTAGGCATGTGCCTACTCTGCCTCACTGAATAAGCGCCAGCTTCAGTGGCCCCCTGTGACAGGCCATTGGCCGCTCCTCTCAGTGCAGCATAGAATTGAGCAGCGAGACTGCAGGGGTATGGTCTATACACCAAAACTGCTTCATTATGCTAAAGTTGTTTTGGTGTCTATAGTATCCCTTTAAATAACTTTGTTTATGCAGCCCTAGTCCCACCTCCCCTGCATGTGATTTACACAATCTTCCTATACACTTCCTGAGAGAGTTTGAATTTTGCAGCTTCCATTAATGCACAGTGTGTTTAATTTATAAATCCTTATCTCCTGCTCTGTTAATAGCCTGCTAGATCCTGCTGCAGCTTCCAGTGTGCCATTAGAGTTTTAGTAACAGAGCAGGCGATAAGAACTTCTAAAGTAAACACACAGTGTCGTAAGATCTGATTAAAACATGAAACAATTTTTTCATGTAGGCTGTGTAAGTTACAGCCAGGGGGGTTGTGGTTATGGCTGCATAAACAGAATCAAAAGTAATTTCACTCCTAAATGGTAGAGAATGGAGCAGTGAGACTGCAGGGCAGTGTCGGAACTACCACGGTCACAGGGGTTGCAGCTGCGACCAGGCCCGTCACTCCAGAGGAGTCTCTGACTCCCATCAGTCTGAGCCACCACTGGACCACAGGGAAGTCACCCTCCTGTATCTAAAAGGTAGGAAACAGGAGGGTGACTAAAACATTTTGTATATGTGTGTTTTTGTATGTATGTGTGTGTGTGTTTGTGTATGTGTGTCTGTATGAATGTTTCTCTGTATATGTGTATGTATGGGTGTCTGTATGTATGTGTGTGTATGTCCGTCTGGGTGTGTGTGTATATGTATATTATCCTCACCTTTTTTGTGTCATTCTACCCCACTTCCTCTAGCATGTAAGCTCATTGAGTAGGTCCCTCAACCCCTCTGTTCCTGTGTGTCCAACTTGTCTGGTTACAACTACATGTCTGTTCGTCCACCCATTGTAAAGCGCTGCGGAATTTGACGGCGCTCTATAAATATCATAATAATAATAATAATAATAATGTGTGTCTGTGTGTGTGTTTGTATGTATGTGTGACGTATGGAGGGGTGGCCGGGGGGTGGGGGGAGGACGTATTAAGAGGGGGAGGACAGACGTATGGAGGGGTGGCCAGGGGGGGACGTATAAGAGGGGGAGGATAGACGTATGGAGGGATGGCGGGGGGTAGACTATAGGGGGGGCCCAGGGCAATTTTCGCACCGGGGCCCCGTGGTTTCTAGCTACACACTAAAACTGATTCATTAAGCTAAAGTTGTTTTGGTGCTTAAATGATCCTTTTAATTTCACTCTTCCTTTTCTTTTCTCTGTTTAACTGATAATGCGTATGTGACCCATGCTATCTGATATTTAAAGAACTTTTTTTAACACATTTAATATAAAGCATTAATAGTGGTTCATAAAAATAATAAAAATAATAATTTCAGCCTGGCTACCTCTGATCTACACTGCCTAATGTAATCTAAATGAGATGAGTAGAGTAGTTACCATGGTGATTCTATGATGCAATACCTGCACTTCTCACACATTCTTACCATTATCACATGCAAAGTAGTTGATGTGGAAGCTCATCTGCAACTTTCTTCACATTCTTCTCCTCAAATAATATAAAGGTATTATTTAATGAAAAAATATAATTATATATATAATATATTTAAACATAACAATTTATTATTTTATTACACCTGCAATAAAAAAAAATTACACATTGGGGCTATTTACTAAACTTAAATTACAGAGGCCAAAATTGTCAAATGCCAAACTATAGCTGAGTTGGGGAATTTTACTATTTTTATTTGCAATTTCTATTGTACGATTCCAATTTATATTTTTATTTACATTTTGTAATTTGGCGTTTAATTTACTGCAATGTGGTTTTTAGTGAAAAAATCCCCAAATCGTTATTATTTTCTAGAGCAAGATAAAACAACCGGATATAGTTATTCATTTAATGCCGACATTTTGACAAATGAACTTGTGATATGACAGTTACTTCAGCCTTTCGGTACCCTGGGGAGGTTCATCATGCAGCGGTTTGCCACTTACCAACGTCCTGGAAAAATTATTGTATTAAGCTATGTTTATAGTTTGGCTACTCTGGCATTACATTTTAAATTAATTTTGAATTCTCAGTTTGGTAAATAGCACTGTCGAGCTAACTGGGAAATCCTTGAAGGAGGCAGCAGCTGGCATCTGGCGGACCCCAGGTAATTTGTCAAACTATTTCTAAAATGTTGGATTACTTACTCTATATTCTGACAAGAATGGGCTGTATTGGTTACAGTGCTTGGCGTGTTTCTTTAACTTCGTATTTATTACAAAGTAATATATAACAAGGCTGTATCATATATAATCTTTTTATTTGAAGGCCATAAGACAATTTTCCTTTAACAAATAGCAGATGCCAAAAAGCAGTGGGTCCAAAATGTTAGTATTGATGCACTTTTTGTATGAATAATATGGGAATGCTGGTTAGAATAAATCCCCAATCCATAACAGCTCCTTTCTACATCCTACTGCCCGGAACTAACATGGCTGCTTCCTCCTGACCTCTGTGGAGATTACGTTTTTGGTAGCTCCTTCTGCTCAAGATATTTGGTGAATCTTGCAACCCCAGATCACCTTTCACAAAAATCCACCATTTCCAAGTGTCCCTATTTAGGAGGTGTGATGGACCGCCTGGCACCCCGACCGGGTACCTCCATCATTTGCTTCTTCCTAGTACTTGCGAGCACCATAAGCATTGTACTGGAACACCATAACCACCGCAAACCCTACAAACCGCCGCAGCTTGGTTGGAGTCTCGCCGTCCTCCACCCATCCTGGACCCAAGACCAGGATTCAGCTTCCAGTAGGTAGACCTCTCATGGTCCAGAGATCGTAGCAGGAACAGCTCTTGTAAGAGCTAGTGATTATACTCAGGGGAGTATTGTGATATAGCAATCCCCAGAGTGAATGTAGTTCTCCAATCCCCCAAACATGAGCCAAGACTTCATGAAGGGGTAAACAAATCTCAGTTTAATGGGAGCCACACTTGGCCTTGTATGACAATCCCCATGCCCACATAGACCTTGTTGGGGACTGCAATACAAAATTATAAACCAATAACAACAGCGTTAATGCATGATGCTCCCATATACAAATACACAATCCCTCCCCTCTACCTGGGAGATAATTGGATTAGGAACTGTACTAATCTAATCCAATTATCTGCAAGCACAGAAAAAAACATATATTTTTACAAACACCCCAAAGGTACCTTCAAACACACAAAATCCCCACAAAAGTTACATCCCCTGATAGCCCTGATCTGGGTGACCAACATATCCAAAAATCACCCAGATCAGTTCAGGGGTTCAGGAATTTCCTGGAAGTATTATTTTTGACTGACCATGCACATGGTCCTATGCCCAAAACAGTTCCAGGAAATCAGGGCTAAAGTTAGGTCTCTCTGTCTGGAGTACAAAAGTACATGTCTCACATGAACAGAGCTTTTTCAAGTGCATTGGCCAAGGTATATTGCCAGGCCCATAGTCCTGAGGCAAGAGGCTGGCCAGCACGCCCCTTCAAGAACCCATGATGAGGTTCAGTTCATCACAGGAGGGACAGTCTCTATTTTGGGTCAAAATCCCTCTGTCCCTCTTTTCTATCCTAATGCTCCTCTTTTCTAGAAGCTCCATATTTTTGGTGTGTTTGAGTGTATAAGAGAGCTGCACAGTAAGTTGTTTTTAAATGGCAATAAATGTGTTTGGAAACCAGTCCGAGTAAATAAGATGCATTGTTCTTGTTCTTCTTCTAAATTGCAATTTCCCCTGTATTTTGCTTATGTTTGTACGGGATCATGCATGTTAAGTAAGCTTTCCTTTTGTTATAATAATAATGAGATCCTACAAAAGAGGATGGAAAAGACGGACAGAGGGATTTGGGCTCTGCTTCCTAAATAGGGACATTTTAGATGTATGACTGAATACGAAATTCTACAACTGTATTTCAACTTCTGTATTAAATATCATCCTATGAATCTAACTCTGTGTTCTAAACTGCACAGATGGATATTGATATATATATTTTTTTTTTACTATTTACAATGACACTCACTGAACTTTCTTTTGAGTACCATTCACACATAAAATGCTCATCATATCAGCTTTGTCCAGTAGAGGGTACTAGATTCTGTGTATTAAAGGGACACTTCTTTATTTTTTGCACAACTCAATAGCTAACTAATATTTAGCTATAATGTTAATTTAGTTTGTATGCCTTGTTGTCCTGTCCTGTGTGGGCAGCCGTTCAATACACAGAAGACCATACACTGCTGAAGTTCTCTGAGCGTGGTCCTTGTGCCCTCAGCAGAGTGAGTGGGCATCTAATAATGTGCTTATGCTTTACTGCCTGGGTAAGTTCCTGCTGTCCTTGGATGCTGGACACCAGGTAACAAAACTTGAACAGCAGGACAAGATCCAGCAATAGGCTCTGTCCTGCCAAAGGCAGGAGAGTTGGGAAGCTTCTAACAAAGTGAGGTTCATACAGATATGATTTTCAGAGATTAGTGTGGAAGGCTTTTGACCTGCATCAAAATATAAATTCAGCCCCATCAACCACTTTGACTATTGTTGGGATATACTAGAATGCAAATTGTGGAACATATCTAATTACCTTTTTATTGTCACTTGATTATTTATTATTATCACCAGCGTCGCTATAAGAGTGTGACAGCCTGCACCCCTCTAAGGGGCCCAGTCGAGCTAAAGGCCCCGGATGGAGCTGACCACATTAAGGGACTCCAGCAGACCGGGCCCCTTAATGGACTACCTGCCTGCCCCCTCCTTTCTCCTGTGCAGCAGCACTAGAAGGAAGAGATGTGATGGCTATGAATGTGCATATCTCTCTGAATACACGCCAGGCTTCCTGTCCATCACTCAGATCGGCCCACTGAGGGCACTGTGGGCATGCCTCCACTCATGGGTTCTCCTGCCCAAATGGCAACTCAATGGAAATTCCTTCTTAAAAGACACTAGGCATGTGCAAAACCTGCTAAAACATGGCAGATTTCAAAACAGCCCCATTGTTTTGACATGCCTAGATACGCTCAAGTAAGCTTCTCCGAACAGCTACCAATGAGGGGGAAAGGGGCCCTGCAGAACTAAAACCTATAACAGAATTAAAGAGGCACGCATTTTTCCCCATATTTTGGGGGATTAGCACCTCTCCTCCAGAAAAAAAAATCTTAGTTTTTCTAAACTACTGCAAATACATTGGTGGGGTGCTGCCCCAAGTGCCCCAGTGGACGAGCCTCCACTGTTTTGGTCACATAACTTATTACATATCCATTCTATCTGTAAGTTTAAACAGACATTGCTGCTAGTCACATAATGTGAGTATCTGCTCTCCTTTTATCTTGGCCAATCTGGCTCTGACAGCCTTGAGTTTAAATCAGAAATGAAGCCTTTATCCCCAATGCCCCTGAAGCCAGCTTTACTTAACTAAAATAGTCCTAAGCAAAAATACTTTATAGTAATTACATCTAAACCAATTACAGTGACATACAAATTATGTTTTTCCAAAATAGATCCAACAAATATAAATATTGAAACGTTTTATCACCTACTATTTCACTTGTCTTCTCTATACTAATTTATTACATCATGCTGATTTTTACATTGCTGCATGTATTAGGTCAGGCTATCTTCGATGTGATGTAATAAATGGGCCAAGACATCATCTGGAAGAAAACCAGTGGAAACCTGGCAAGATGGACTTTGAAACAACATACAAGATGAATTTTAACCGTTACAATGTAAAGCCTGTGCCATTAATGCGTCCAGTGGAAAGGCAACAGGATGTTGGAAAGTTTTGTGGAACTCCTACATATAAAAGTAAATATAATTATCTTTAAATGGACACTCTTGGCTGTAGTTGATTAACATTTTCTTAATGCATTACAGTGATAATGAAATAAGTAAAAGCAAAAATGTAATTCAACATCCTAAAAATAAAAATTAAGAAAATTCTCATTTTGATTTTAATGTTCCGGCATTTGTTCACATTAAGCGTCGTTCATAAAAAACAACAATCAAACTATTTCTCAAGGACCTAGGAGCAAATAAATCAGTTTTTGTACTTTACGAATGAAAATAGACGTAAAATAGTTATGTCTGACACAGGCTGTACCGTTTTCCACTAAAAGCTGTGTAGCATGTGGCAGACTGAGCCGCAAGTAGCTTCATTAATGAAAAGTAACAATTCATTCATTTTTGCAAGGTAATATAAGATGCACTACTTATTTTCCCATTTTATTTCCAGATGTATCTTACAAAACAAGTTATCAAAGTGGTTTTTATTAAATTATTTATGTTATCTTTGTGTTGCAGATATTGTAAGTCTATGCACTGTATTAATTTTCAGTATAATGTAAAGAGAATCTCTGAGCACAACAAAAACTCTACTGGAATGAAGTATGGTATGGTGCTTAGAGGACCCAGGTGCCAGCTTACCTTTAGGGGTTAAACCAGGCTTCCCCAAACTCCGTCCCTCCAGATGTTGCTGAACTACAACTCCCATGATTCTATGAATGAAATAGATGGGCTGAGAATCATGGGAGTTATAGTTCAGCAACATCTGGAGGATCGGAATTTGGGGAAGCCTGGTTTAAACAGTTAATGAATGGTATAGCCCCATTCTGCTGCTCTCAGATTCCTCAAACTGGAAGCCTTGGATTGCAGCAGACAGGGGTGCCACTGATTGGCTTAAAGAGCCAACTGATGGTCCCAGTCAATCAGTAGCTCCCCATTCACAAATCAGCTTACAGCTTAATACACATACGTGTTTCCTTCAAATTCACAACAAAACGTAATATAAAAATTCATAGATGATCAGAATTTCTGCTTATTAGAAATATATTATGATAGGAGGTGACAAGCCATGATGTACCTCTATTGATTATAGATTTATGTTTTTGTTTGTTGGTTTTAGGCGATTTCAAACAATGGGATATCCAAAAAAGAGAACTTATTAAACAACCCAATATTTACCAGCCCCCGGTCCTGAAGTTTAGTCATTCAACTACTTCCCAGAATGATTATTATCTTAAGAAGCTTACGTTGAATAATAGCTTCAAGCCTGAAGACAAAACAAAACGTTCCAGCCTCCCTTTCGATCATACCACCAGCTATAGCATTTCCTATGTACCTCACAAATTAGTGCCTAAGTTTGAAACACAAATAGAGGAGTATAAGCCTAGTGGCCAACGCTTTGAGCATCAGACGACACATCGTCTCACTTACAAGGGTGCACTGGGTGAGAAAGCAAAAATCTTTAAACCAGAGCAAACGACAGTTACCAACAATGACAAATTTGAGGGTACCTCTGAGACCAAAGACAGCTTTCTGCCACAGTTGCTGCCATCTGGTCATGATGTTAAGACTGAGGAGGATAAGCCAACTACCTCTATACACAAAGACAACTTTCTGCCAAAGTTGCTTCCATTTTGTCATCTTGTTAAGACTGAGGAGGATAAGCCAACTAATGCTCCAACGGAATTAGAGAGTACAGTGCCCTCAGATTATGTTCCAAGCCAGCTAAATTTTGTGAAACCAGAGTCTCCTGCAAAAGGAAGCAAAGCATCCATCAAAGGAAATTGCAACACGAAAGATCTTAAATCCGGAAAAGGCCAAGAACGCAAGAAGAGCATTCATCTTCCAAAGATAAGTACAACATTTAATGGATTAACAACATCCCAAACATACTTTAAACTTCAACAACAAGATAAATAAAACCTAAAACTGTACGCCAACCAATAAGACCTCCAGAAGTTCTGTTCCATTTGAGAATGAAACCATCTATCATGCAGATTATACTGGCAAAAACAATGAAATCTCTCCATCATTTCATCCAGCTACATAAGGCTACAATTATGGCCTGTGTTAAGTATCATTTCAGAAACTATGGGGAACCTCAATTTGAACATTGGTTATACTTGGTCTTTTGATTCAATAAAAACTATGCATTCAATAACATGTGGATTGCATTTTTCTTGAAATACAATATAAAATGAATGTGTGTTAACAACAAATGACCCACCCTAAATAGATATATTCTGTAGAAATAAAAAGGGATGGCTTCAAAGAGGAATAGCTTGAACTCACACAAATTAAAGAGTATTGCTGAAATGATTTAATTTCGATTCTATCAGTTTCCAAAGGTTTGCAGACATCAGGGAAACTACAATTAATGGATCTGAATGAATTGGTCTGGGTGCAGTGATCCTTTGTTTTTGTTTTTAAACAAACAAGCCATTCAAAAAACTTAAAAGTGTTTTCTAAACTGGTATTCAAATTATTTTTAGATTAATACAAATGCCAATTAAAAGGATACATGACGGTGATATTCCATCATGATTCCCTTTTATTTCTGAAACTGTGTCCTTAATGGGTTAATGCTAATTTTAAAAAAAAAACCACAATATAATTAACCCCTTAAGGACCGAGGACGGTTCAGGACCGTCATCGGCATTTTTGCCTTGAGGACCGATGACGGTCCTGAACCGTCCTAACGGTCAGAGCTACTTACCTGATCGCCGTCGTTCCCCCGGCGGCGATCAGCGTGGCTCCGGTTGTGGGGAGACTGCCTGCAGCCCAGACAGTCTCCCCGCGGCAGATTAGGACCCCCTGTGGCCATGTGATCGCTTAATACAGCGATCACATGGTCACAATAGGTGTCCTAGTGTCTGCCTGCAGGGGGACTGTCTGTGCTGACAGGCAGTCTCCCTGCTAGTGTAAAATCAATTAAAAAAATAAAGTTAATGTTAATAAAAAATAAATAAATAATTATATATGTGTATATATGATATATAGACATATATTATATCTATATAATATATGTCTATATATCATATATATAATACCATACTAAGTGTATTTTTATATTAATATGTACTTATATTAAAATAAAAATACACTTATAATTAAATTACACACGTATATATATAATATATATAATAACTATATATATTGTATATATATATTATTATAAAATATAAATAATAAGTAATTTAAATTAAATAATTTTTTTAAAATAATAATAAAAAATTTTAAAAAAATTATATAGCTATATGAAATTTTATTCTAACTGTATTTTAAAATTAATATATATATATTTATATCAAAATACACTTAGAATGAATTTGTATATATATCTATGTATATAAAAATAAATAAAAATAATAAGAAATATACATACGTCCATATACAAAATTACTTAAATAATTATATAAATATACACGTAGACTTCAAATATATAAATATGCATATATATTTAAATTCTACGTGCGTATTTATGTAATATTTTTACATAATTCAGTAATTTTATTGATTGCAATTTGAGGGACCTGCCTGCCAACCCAGGCCGAAATTCCAGAGAATTTAATTTGCTAGCACTGTATTTTACCCTGTAACGTTCTACGACACCCTAAAACCTGTACATGGGGGGTACTGTTTTACTCGGGAGACTTCGCTGAACACAAATATTAGTGATTCAAAACAGTAAAACATATCACAGCGATGATATTGTCAGTGAAAGTTACTTTTTTTGCATTTTTCACACACAAACAGCACTTTTACTGATGATATAATTGTTGTGATACGTTTTCCAGTTTTTAAACACTAATATTTGTGTTCAGTGATGTCTCCCGAGTAAAACAGTACCCCCCATGTACAGGTTTTATAGCATTTTTGAAAGTTACAAGGGTCAAATATTTTTACATTGAAAATGGCCAGGTTGGTTACGTTGCCTTTGAGAGCGTATGGTAGCCCAGGAATGAGAATTACCCACATGATGGCATACCATTTGCAAAAGAAGACAACCCAAGGTATTGCAAATGGGGTATGTCCAGTCTTTTTTAGTAACCACTTGGTCACAAACACTGGCCAAAATTAGCGTTCAATTTAGTTTTTTTACTTTTTTCACACACAAACAAATATGAATGCTTACTTTGGCCAGTGTTTTCGACTAAGTGGCTACTAAAAAAGACTGGACATACCCCATATTGAATACCCTGGGTTGTCTACTTTAAAAAAAATATGTACATGTGGGGTGTTATTCAGAGATTTATGACAGATAATAGTGTTACAATGTCACTATTGATAAATTTTAAAAATGTATGTTTTGAAACCGCAATATCCTACTTGTACCTATAGCCCTATAACATGCAAAAAAAAGCAAAAAAGCACGTAAACACTGGGTATTTTTAAACTCAGGACAAAATTTTGAATCTATTTAGCAGTTTTTTTCATTCGCTTTTGTAGATGAGTAAAAGATTTTTCAAGTAAAAGTCAAAAAACATGTATTTTTTTCAATTTTTCATCAGATTTTTTTATTTTTTTTAAATTAAAATACATGAGATTATATAAATAATGGTATGTAAAGAAAGCCCCTTTTGTCCTGAAAAAAACAATATATAATTTGTATGGGAACAGTAAATGAGAAAGCGGAAAATTACAGCCAAACACAAACACCACAAAAGTGTAAAAATATGCCTGGTCGCAAATGTACAACATCGCAAAAACAGTCCAGTCCTTAAGGGGTTAAGCCCATGATTTTCACACCAATGCATCACATTAGGAAAACACTAAAGGCACCAGTGAAGCCAATAGTGAAAAGGCACATAGAAGGTAAGAATCTATTTCCACACAGAAGCCAGCACTGGTCGAAACACATTTTTGCCTGAATAATATTGTATTAGGGACTCGTGAGGAGATGCACAATTACATTCTAGCACCTTCCTAAAAGATGGCTGGCAGTAGAAATTGGCCAACAGGCCCACAATTCTGTCTACCAGATTGTGTACAACAGCCTTGTGTGAGCTGGTATGGTCAATTAGTTTTTTTTTATGCAGCCTTCAGCTGCCCCACCTGTGCTTTTTATATTTGTTGAGTAAAATTTGAGGGTACCTCTGAAGCCAAAGACAGTTTTCTGCCACAGTTGCATGACATTCCATCACGTCTAAAATGTAGGTGTAGTTGAATGACCCTGCTTCCCTTGTTCCAGACATTTTCTTCTATCACCATGGTAATATGGGTCCCACACGCTGCACTACTAACAATTTTAGAGTAGATCTGTCACTTTCCGGTAGACATGCGGTGCAGTGGAAGGTAAATTTCCCTCAGCATCTGTTTGAGGGTACCGTTAGTCTGTGGGTGGTAGGGTGAGCTAAGTAACGGCTTAATGCCACACACCTTCCACAGCTGCTGGGTGAGCACAGCGGTGAATTGGGTTCCCTGGTCGGAGAGGATCTCCTTAGGAACCCAATTCACTGCTGTGCTCACCCAGCAGCTGTGGAAGGTGTGTGTCATTAAGCCGTTACTTAGCTCACCCTACCACCCACAGACTAACGGTCTCTGCGAGCGCTTTAACGGTACCCTCAAACAGATGCTGAGGACCTTTACAGACACTTGCAGAGACTGGGAGAGATTCTGCCTCATCTATTATTTTCTTATACAGAGGTGCCCCAGGAATCTACTGGGTTCTCCCGCTTTGAGCTGCTGTATGGGAGAAGGGTCCGCGGACCCCTAGATCTCATTAGAGGCCACTGGGAGGGGGAGACGGAACAAGAGGGGAACCCCATAGTACCATATGTTCTGGAACTCCGGGACCACATGGAGAAACTGTCCCTGATGGTAAGGGAGAATCTCCAGGTGGCCCAGGGGAGAGTACCTCTGCTCTATCTTTGTGAGTATTATTTTATTTTCTCTACTACTCTCTTAACCTATCACAATTGAGAGCACTATTGCTGCTTTTTATTCTTCTATATTGGAGCCTTGGATCACCAGACGGTGCTGACGGACGTATCGCCGCTACATATCCTATAAGCGGGGATTATACCGCTGTACGCTATCCACACCAGAGCTGGCCATAGCTCCCTGAAATGTGAGTTTTTTACCTCTTCTTATCTGCACATTGAACCACATCAAAATTGAGAGCATTATTGTTGCTTTCTGTCTTTCTTTTCCGAGTTCTAGACTACCAGACGGTGTTGACGGAGACCCCCTCCCTACATATCCCATAAGCGGGGATTATACCGCTGTACGCAATCCACACCAGAGCTGGCCATAGCTCTCTTGAATGTGAGTTCTTTACTTTTTGTTACCTATCACACCCTGAACTTTCATACTATACCATTAGTCGCCTCTACCTCTCTTGTATTTACATATAAGGAACGGTCTACACCAGACGCATCCACAGAGGAACTCTATCAAGTATCCTAGACCATCTATTGGCACCCTAGCAATACTTTACTGGACTATCTACCCTTATTTGACGCAGCCCTTCCAAATCTTTTTGTATCTATCCACCGAAGGACCCGAGGGGTTTTCCTTCATTTGGGTTGCTGCCTACCTTGACTAATTTTGTGATTACTAGCGCTGAATTCTTTTTGTGTTTACATGATCACTATATTTGGTCACCAGTTACCAGTTACGAAAACAAGCCAGCTGGGCAAGATAGTACCAGTCACATATTATCCTACTGCAAACAGATGGTGCCCGGTGAAAGTATTGGATACATACCTCCACTCATTACCACCGCAGTCTGACATCCCACTGCTAGTCTTACACAAAGAGGTCTTTACAACAGCCAAATTCAATATTCCAGTACATGTAATCAAGTCTTTGGGCCGCTGGAAGTCCTCAGCATTTGCTTTGTATATACCTCAACCTGTGTTAGAAATTAGGGCGGCATTTGTTAAACTGTCATCTTGGGGTATTTTCTTTGCACTATG